TCGTCTATCTCCCGCCGAGGTCTTCCTCTCCCCCTTCTGCGCCTCCGCCGCAGGATCGCAGCGATTGTGGCAGGGGTCTGGCGGATTAGCCTCGCCTCCTCTGATATCCTAACCCGATCCTCGAAGGCAAGGAGCCTCCCGTTGAGGTACAGGTCGATGGGTGGGCAATAGGTTCCTGTCTCCAAGCTCCGTATTGGGGTAGCCTTGTAGGCCCCAGCGACCACCCTGAGGCACTCCGATTGGATCTTTGCGAGTTCCTTTGCGGCCCCGCGGGGGGGGCCCCCTACCTCTGTAGGAGTGTGGAAGGCTGAGGCTCCATACGCGATCGCACTGCGGATCACTTTCGAGTAGATCTCCCTCGCCCTCGCGAAGGTACACCCCCACGTCTTTGCCGCGAGCCTAGTTAAAAAGTAGTAAGGCTCTTCCTAGGTTGTATAATATCCTAATCCCTCTATTCCATATTAGAGAGAGACCAATATAAGTAAAGGGATGCACTTACCTATAACCTATACATTCTATCTAGATAGTTAATACTACTTGCTAAGAGACACTCCCTTGTAGTTAATAGGAGTAGGTTCTAGTTATTATTTTTGAAGAAGGGTCCATAAATTAGGAGATAAAGGAGAGCCGGGTAATAATAAAGTAATACCTTTAAAAACGATATGCTAGATTCTAGACCCTCTAATTAAATGTCCTAGATAGGTTACTCGAGAAGTAGGTATAGAGGCCTTAATTTAAGGATTCGGTTAAGCTTTAATATAGTTACCTAAATTCCTAGCCTATAACTAATTTAATAATCCTTTATTTAGCCCTTATCGATATAGTTATTATAGCTTTAATAGAAGAAGTTTAATAATATACCTTGGGGGGATGGCGTAGTTGGAACATGCTGCGCATCGCAAGTCTTCTGCATGCCTGCAGAGGTCGTCGGTTCCAACCCGGCTCCCCTTACCCTCCTAAAAACTGGAGGACGTTCAGAGTCCGGCCTAGCCAGCCAGGGAAGGAATCCCGAGGTATAGCCGTCGTCTCGGAAGTTAGGGGATTGGGCCCCCCTGACCAAATCAACGAACCGGGAAAAAGCCGCGTAACTCGGAGCAGAAAACCCGAGTGCCAGGAGCTGGGACCGAGCGCTGAGAAAAACCCAGGGTTGTATCGCCAGCGTAACAAAAGCGGAAATCTACGGAGGGTAAGCTCTGTAATAGTATGCCGACCTAGGATATGGAGACGGAAAAACTGTTGGTTGCGGAAACAGGAGGAACGGGGTTTGATGGCTTCCGGGGATAGCCGATTGCATTCGAGAGCTACGGCAGGCCAGCAACGCTAACCAGGCCCCGGCATCTGTAGTATGAAGGATTCAGAGTGTGGGTAACGGACGGAGGTTTGCAGCCGGCCTTAGGGTACAGTTTTCTCTGTATGTGGAAGAATTAGCGGTTGAGGGACCGGCGCGCTGCGGGCATATCGGTGTAGGATATAATATTATTATTATTATCATTCATACTCCGCTATGCCCTAGGGCGTGCCGGACCCTCAGCTATTTAGTGTACAGGAAAACCTTGCCCTCCCGGGCCGGGTGAAAAACCCATACCAACAATCAAGGAGCGATGCGTTTTAGTGAGCCTACATATACAAAGAGAGGAGGCCTCCTGGCCTCCGAACGGGGGCGCTTCAGGCCGCCGCTTCCAGCTCGAGCCTCCTGGCTAAGCTGTACATCGGCAGCTTCCCCGAGTCCATCAGCCAGTCGAGGACTCTCCTCGCGAGCCGTGTAGAACAGAGTAAAAGTCCCGTCGTGTTCGAATTCCAGTTCTCTCCCATCTTCGAGTCAACGGTGGGGCCAAACACCACACTACCAGGTGTTCGGCAGTCTCTCATCCCTCGCCACACTCGCAGGCAGGAGTTAGAACCTCCGGGACTCCCCGTGTAAACAAGAAGTCCCGGAATAGCGTCTCCTGCTGATGGTCAAAGTCGTCTGCCGGCCTGGTGATTGCCCTGCCGTCCCGTTCCTTTAACCACCTCGCTTTCCAAGCCTCTTCTACTACCCTGTTCGTATCAACGGTTCCCCCCGTCCAGCGCATGACCGTGCCCGCGGCTCTCTCCACCGCCGTAGGCCCTTGAGGTCCCAAGGTTCGCGGTCGGCCTCTGTTGCCCTTCCTCGAGCTAAGTCTCTGCTGTATCTTGCGGCAGGCGGTAGGACAACGCTCGCCGCCGTCTTCTTGCCGCCTGGACCGTCGTCCAGATCGGGTCGTTGGAGTCGGTTTTCGAAATCTGCAAGCCGAAATAATAATATTACTCTAGATTATTATCTATATTTATCTCGTTAACCTGGTATTCAAGTTTCGTTCTAGTAAGTCTGAAAACTAATAACCTTTCTATCTAGTATTTTAACTTGCTATCTTACAATTTATTATTATTCCTACACCGCTATGCCCTTGGGCTCGCCGGTCCAACTATCTAGCTAGTTGTACAGGAAAACCGTCCTGGTTTCCCAGTCGGACTGAAAACCTGTACCGATGTTACCTTGGCCCGTATCTTCAGAATTCGTCGTGCTACGGTTGAAGGGAGCCTACCCAGCTCCCTGCATTCCGACATCCTGACCTTCCGCCTCCAAGGTCTCCGCGGCCTCTGGAGTCGTAACCCCTAGGCCCTCAACACCGTCTCCTCGGTCTCCGGTCAGATCCGTATCAACCTTCCTCGCAAAGGTCAGCTTTCCTTGCCTCGAACTCCTTGCAGCCTCCTCCTGGGCTATGAGAAAGACGGAGATTCGGCCCCGAGGACCTCTCTTCCTTTTTCCCGCTTCTTGGAAGCCATCGTCAGCCATTCCACCAGGGTGGATGCACCCCGGAATGTGACGCTCCGCTCATCCTCGGTAGTAGTCTCTCTTGCTCTTCGCGTGCCATTCTTTCGCTTCAGCATCTTGAAAAGTGACGATAACATCCCCGCTAGGGAGCTTGCGTGCTGCCACTGCTCCCTTCCTCTCGGAAACCCCGTTGACCGCCTGGACAATCTCTTGTGGAAACCTCCGGGTCAGCGACGGCTCTATAGATCCCCTCACCAGTATTTTCTTGTTGAGCCGCCCCGGTATGATTTTCTTCGGGAGCTCCCCTCCCCCAGCCACCACTGAAGCCCACGACCGGGCTACCGTTGTTGCTGGTGCAGGTGCTTGCTTCTTTCTCTGATCCTGCAGTTCCCTCCGGGCCTCTTGCAACTCCTTCTGGACCTCCTGCATCTGTTTTCTCACTATCCTCCATGGCCCTCCCTGTCCCTTGTCCGACACCGTCCACCACGGCGTCCACGATGCTTTCCTGAATCCTCGTAACGTCGATTCCCACGCTTCCCGTCTCTGGTGCCTTTCCGCTTTCCAGTCTACGCAGCCTCCGCAGCCGTGTCATGATCTCGTCCGCCACTACTTGGGAGACCGCCTCGTTTGGTTCCTTGGCCAAGTGAACTATTGTCCCTGCAAGTACCTCGTCAGATTCGTCGTGTAGAGGGTTGGGGCCATTGTAAATGTCATCTTCCATCTCTTCGTCGTTGTCCGTTGTGATTGGTTGAGCTCCTTCAGTAGGTGGGGCAGGCTCCGCCCGTGCAGTATTTTTCGCAGTCCTGGGCGCGGTCTTACCTTTCCTTTGCGAGCCATCGCGACGAGGCGCGACAGATCCCGCGACGGGGAAACTGCCGTCGGCGGTTAGAGCTTTCCAAGCGCGATCGAATGATGGTAGTTTCAGGCGTTTTGCTGCTTCTTTCGTGCTTTCCTTTCCATTGAAATATCTCCTTTTTAATTTCCATTGAAATATCTTCGTTTCCCATAGCATTTGTCATTAAAACTATATACAACATTTATTAACTAGAGTAAAGTTAAGTATTACAATGCTTCTTTATAGTATTTTATGTTTGAAATGCCGAATATATATATTTATACTATACTAGCTATAACTACTACTAACGTATATTATAAGCGAGCGACGCATATAAGCGAGCGACACACTCTTCCCCGCCACGCGTCTCCTCTTCTGTTCCACCAGATCCCACCACAACCCCGTAGCCATGCGTAGCCCCCCAAGAGAAGCCAGGCTTCGCATGTTGCCGTTGAAGCCATCGGAAAGAACAAAAATCTCAGTATCCGGGCCGCAGCCAGACTGTACAACGTTCCGGAAGCAACGATTCGCCACCGACGTACTGGCCGGTCTGCACGACGTGATTTACCAGCCAACTCGCGTAAGCTTACGGACCTGGAAGAGCGTACGATAGTTCAATATATACTGGAACTGGATGCGCGCGCATTTCCCCCTAGACTGCGTGGTGTGGAAGATATGGCCAACCACCTGCTCCGCGAACGCGATGCGCCCCCTGTCGGCAAGCTCTGGGCCCACAACTTCGTCAAGCGCCAGCCACAGCTCCGTACGCGTCGTACGCGTAGATACGATTACCAGAGGGCCAAGTGCGAAGATCCAAAGGTCATTGGCGGGTAGTTTACGCTTGTACAGGACACTAGGGCCAAATATGGGATTGTTGATGACGATGTCTATAACTTCGACGAGACTGGGCTTATGATGGGCATCATCTTCGCGGGTATGGTAATTAGTTACGACCTCAGACGGCCGTAGCAAGGCTAAACTAGCTCAGCCTGGTAACCGCGAGTGGGCGACTGTAATCCAGGACAGGCATACGGTCGCCTGATCGACGAGCTGATGCGCGCACACATCAATCATATCACCAAGCTCGAGTTCCTTTGTGCCTTTCGCGAAGCCTTCTTTGCTTCCATGACAGAGAAGAATATCCAGGGTGGGTTTGCAGGGGCCGGTATCATACCATTCGATCCAGAGAGTGTGCTTTCTAAGCTGGATGTCAAGCTTCATGCACCAACACCCCCAGACTCCCTGCCTGGCACTGCACAGCCTTGGGTCTCTATGACCCCGTATAATACCCAGGAAACCCGCTCGCAGTCAGACTTCATCAAGACCCGGATTTCCAGCTACCAAAATAGCTCCCCAGCTTCGGTGTTAGTTGCAGTTGACCAGCTTACCAAAGGTGCAACGGCTGTAATGCACCAAGTGGCTCTTCTTCAGTCAGAGGTCTCTTCGCTCCGTAAGGCCAACGAAGTACTAAGCAAGCGCCGGAAAGCCAAAAGAACACGCATACAGCTTGGAGGGGCACTTACTGTACAAGATGCACAGGATCCACTGGACCAGAGGGATGTGGGTAAGGGGGCACTGCAGGAAACACAGCCGGATAGTAGTGGTGCAGGGGGGGCTCGTGCGAAGGTTCGGCGCTGTAGTAAGTGTGGCAAGCCTGGCCATAATGTGCGTACTTGAGAGGAGGCTGCAGAGGTCTCTGATGCAACTGTTTCCGATGTAATTGTAGTTAGTTGCTAGGGTTGTTGTGTTGTGATTGTAGATAGTTGTTGCAAGGTGGGAGAAAGCGCGTCGCTCGCTTATATGCGTCGCTCGCTTATAATATACGTTATATTAACTACTATAACGTCATCTGCATGGTTGTTGGTCATGTACCCTCCTTAGCCACAGTAATTTCGCTAATTCAGGGGAGTACCACAACGCCAAAGAACCAAGATCGCCACATTTGAATGGGCATCGACAGTGCAAAAATGAACCCATTCGCAAACTAGTATTAGTAGTAGATACAGAAAAAACAGGTGGTTCCAGCCAAACAATCAAGAAGAGTAGTTAAACGCAATAGGCATTTCCTTCCACGCAATCTTTGGAAAGCTAACCTTCCTATACAGTACCGCCTTTCTGGCTTTGATGCTATCTACTTCGGCCTGTTTTATTTCTTTTTCAATACGTAGATCGTTGATAGCCTTAGCTGACAGGACCCTCGCATCGCTATAATGCTTTTTCGCGCTCTTCTTTCTACTATCAAGTCTCTTTCTAATTAGCTCCTGATTTAAGGTATTGATAATAGCTTTATCAGCCTCTAGGCTGAAATATACCTGTTGAATTTACGTAACCCTCGGTCTTAGGGGGGTGATCTCTATACCCTGAGTAGGTTAGCTAAAATATTGTTGATCTTAATAGTGGGCTGCCTCTATAATTATCCTATTGGTACCTATATCTATATGTGACGAACCTACTTCGGGACCCTGTCCTGTTAGGGTTCAGCTTCGGTTGAAGGTGATCTCTCAAGGGTGTTTAGGTTCGGTGCAGCCAAAAGGTGCACAACAAAGACTTGTCCCAACAGTAGGCTTCCAAGCTTGTAGCGAACTGTAGTTGTGATTGCTAACTGAAGAACTCCCAGAGCTCTCCAGAACGAGGGACTATATACTAGCTAGCATCACCATCCCGCTGGCGATAATCCCCAGTTGTCACTGACAATTGGTGACAATCGTTCAGTATCACTGACACCCAGTGATAATTGTTCCCATTAGTTCTTAACCGATTGGCCGTCAGCGTCCTGCGCCTTTAGCTGCGACCGCCCCGGCCCGTCTCTTGGGTCATTCCGTGACACGGTGCCCCTCCTTTCATGTCTTTCGACCCGAAAGATGTTGGTCCTTCATTCTCAATACTGGCTAGTAGTCCTTAACCCGCAGCGCTCCCCCTCTACCATTGGTAACCTCCTCTCTCCATCCCTTTTCCCCTTCGCTCCTGCTAACTGACATCATGCCTGTGGAGAAGCGTCAATCCAAATCTGCGCGCTATCGTGCTTCCCTGGCCTAAAATATTGACAAGAACGGTTTTGTCGTCATGCCTTGTTCCTGGTGAGCTACTCAAAGTTTGACATGCCGCATGCTTCCGAAAGTGAAACGCTGCAGCGCATGCGTCCAGCGTGGTCGCTCGTGCGATGGTTCTGGCGTCCCGATTTCTCGATGTGAGTCACCTCCTCAGCTACCACCCCTCCTAACCTGTTCCAACGTCCCTAGTGGATCGTATTATGCAGGAACAGCGGCGTGTTGAACAAATGTGGTCACTGCACTAGGCCGTGAGGAGCGCGACACCGAGGAGTCTCTTGAGGCGACTCAACGAAAGTGGAGGAGGACCAGCGTGCCCTTGCGGAGCACCTGGCCCGTTTGCGGCGCCTCCGTCAGCAGAAGAAGTTCTTGGTGGACCGTGGTGCTGATATGGTGGCTCGTGGTCTGTCGACTTTGGATGAGCCGGAGGAGGCCGAGAGGCAAGAGCCTCTTGCTTCGGTAGGGGTACCTCCGGGTGAGGGCGACCTCAATTCTTTCGCCGACTCCTCCTCGGGGTTCGACTGCTCCTTGGGGAGTCCCCTCGCTGGGGTCGACCTCTCCGCGGGGTTCCCTCTGGTCGATCTGGGTTCCTCTGGTGGAACTCCTGGGGTTTCTCGGGGCAGTTGAGATTTGTAGCTGGTTGCCATGAATTGTCTTCTGGACCAAAGTCCAGCCACTTGACCAAGTATTCCAACTGTCCTTCCGTGATGCGCGAGTCTAGGACTTCTTCAACGTCCTTGTCGAGTCGTGCGTTCTTCGGCGCTGGTTCCAGAAGCGAGATGTGGAAGACGTTGGTCCGTAGTCGCATGGTTGAGGGTAACGCGAGTGCGTAGTTGTTCTCCGAAATCTTTTTGTCGATCTTGAATGGTCCGATTTTGCGAAAATCGAGCTTCCTGCTTGGTCGCTTCGTGCGAAGATTTCGAGAAATGAGGTAAACTTTGCCCCCCTCTTCTAGGCGAGGTCCCTCGAGCCTGTTCCTGTCGTAGAACTTCTTCATCCTGGTTCGTACGAACTCGAGTTCTTCCTTGAGCATCGCATGCAGCGAGCTCATTCTGTCGGCCTTGACTGCCCGCTCTGGGTACCGAAACGTCGGACCCTTGTCGCAAGTCTGCTTCGTAGCCGTAATTCGCGAAGAATGGCGTGACCTTCGTGGTCTCCGTGACGGTGGTGTTGTAGGCGAGTTGCGCTGTTGGCAACAGCTCGACCCAGTCGTCCTGCTAAAAGTTGATATACACTCTCAGGTATTGCTCGACGATCTGGTTGAGTCGCTCCGTCTGTCCGTCCGTCTGCGGGTGGTAAGCGGTCGAAAGCTTACTCCTCGTACCCAACTTCGTCATTAGGGCTTGCCAAAACTTCGATGCGGACTTTGTGTCTCTGTCCGTGATCCATTCCCCCGGCCATCCGTGGACCGAGGTGACATTGCGGTAGATCACGTCTACAAGTTGTTCTGCCGACCATGGCTCCTTGTAGGGAAGGAAGTAGCTCCACTTGGTGAGTCTGTCCACCACTGTGAGGATGCTGTCGTACTTCGTTCCCGTCGCTGAGTCCTTTAATGTCGGAGGCTTGGTGATGAAATCCATTGTCACCGAGCTCCATGGTCGTTCTGCGACCGGTAATGGTTGCAACAGTCCATACGGCTTGTGTGGCCGTGATTTGCTTCGTCCGCAGAGGTCACACTCTGCCAGGATTTCTTTTGTCGCTTGCTTGATTCCTGGGAAGTCGTAATTCTGCTTGACCTTCGCAATTGTCTTGCTGATTCCCATGTGCCCTCCGGGTCTTGACCCGTGGATCTTTTGAATGAGCTCCTTTTGGTCGCTGGGCCTGATGTAGGCCTTGTCGTGGTACCAGAGTCTCGTTCCTTCAAGTCGCAGTCCTGCGATCTTGGATTCTGGCTCTTCTCGCCATTTATCGCGTTCATCGTCCGTGATGATTCCTTGGAAATCTCGTTCCAATCGTCGTTCCCTGAAGACCGCACAGCATTCTACAAACGGTTGCAGAGGCCTGGCTTCGGGATCTTCCAACTGCTGCTGAAGCGCTGCGATCTCGTAGTCTTCAGTCGGTTGGGAAGCGTGCCGTGGCGATCCGTCTGTCTGCTGATGTAGCAATGGTGGTGAGGCTTCAGATGTGTTGTCGTGGTGATCCGCTCTCCTACTCAAGGCGTCCGCTCGTGCGTTTTCCGAGCCTTTCTTGTAGTGGATTGTGAAGTTGAACTCAGACAGGAACTCTGCCCATCGAGTTTGTCGTCCGTTCAGCACCTTCGTGGTGGTGAAGTACCGTAGGTTCTTGTGGCCCGTGTGCACCTGAACTTCGTTGTGTTGTGCCGCCGAGGTATGGCCTCCATTCCTGAAATGCTTCGATGACTGCGAGCAGTTCTTTGTCGTGGATCGGGTAGTTGAGTCTTGGTCCCTCGAGTTTCTTGGAGAAGAACGCAACTGGGTGCAGCTTGCCGTCCTTGTCTCTCTGGCCAAGTTGCCTTCGACTTCAAAAAGTTTGCTTGGGTCAGGCAGCATGAGTACTGGATCAGCGGTAATCGCGTCGCGCATCCGCTGGAACGCTCGCTCGTGCTCCTGCTTCCACTGGAATGTGGTGCCTTTCTTCGTGAGCTCGTGTAGAGGCCTCGCGATGTCGCCAAAGTTTTTGATGAACATCCTGACAAAATTGGCGAATCCGATGAATCCTCTGACCTCTGTGGCGTTTGTCGGTGTTGGCCACGTTCTGACAGCTTCCAGTTTCTCGGGTTCGATCTTGACCCATCCTGGGGAGATCTCGTAACCCAGAAACACTGTCTTCTTGACATGGAACTCGCTCTTGTCCTTGTTGACTGACAACTTGTGCTCGTGCAGTGCGTCCAGCACCTGCCGCACGTGTTCCTTGTGTTCTTCGAGTGTCTTGGAATAGATGAGAATGTCATCCAGGTAACAGACTGCGAATTTATCGAGGCAGTGTCGAATTGCGTGGTCGATGGCGGCTTGAAATGTTGCCGGTGCGTTGGTCAATCCGAATGGCATGACGAGGTACTCATAGTGCCCGTAGGGTGTTCGGAAAGCCGTCTTCCATTCGTCTCCTTCCTTGATGCGAATGTGGGCGTAGGCAGTTGGGAGGTCGAGGCGGGTGTAGTATTGTGCCCCTGACAGCTGATCTCGAAGCCTCGCGATCAGTGGCAGTGGGTATCGGTTCTTCACCCTCTCGTTGTTCAACTGTCGGTAGTCCACACACATCCTGAGCTTCCCATCCTTCTTTGGAACGAATAGGACTGGGTAGCCTGCTGGAGATGTCGATGGTCTGATGTGTCCTATCTCGAGATTCTTTTCGAGATAGCTCCTCAACTCCGCATCTTGTTTCTCGTTGGTGTGATACACCTTGAAGAACTTCAACTGGGCTCCTTCCTTGAGTTTGATCTCGTGGTCCCAAGGTCCGTGATCTGGCAGCCCTGCAAGATGTTTTGCCGTGAACGCTGGGTGTCCCTTGTAATCGTCTGGATCTTCCCTGTTGTCGCGTTCTTCGTCGTACCTTCATAGTACGCGAACTTGTTTCCTGACTCGATGAATGATGCCTCGGGTATCTTGATTTCTTGTGCTGGCAGCTCAATGCCTGCTGCTTCTTTCCGGTTGACCCATGCTTCGTGTTTGAGCTTCCCGTGCTCGTCCACTGAGACGACGGCGATGGTTCGTGCCTCCCGTGTCTGCTTCTGTTGTCGTGTGCCGCTTCTTCCGGATTCCAGAGTGCGTGTTTCTGCACTGGCTGTTTCCTGCGGTGGGCCCGTAGAGGGGGTTCGTTCTGACCCTCTGCTCATCCGTGGCTCCTGTTCTGCGCGTTCTTTCATCAAGTCTGTCGGATGCTCCCGCGGTTCTCGCGGTCGCAGATGGCCATCTCCCTTCCAACTGATGTCCGGGTCGTAGTCCTCGTGCCATGGGCGTCCGAGGATCATGTCCTTCTCTGGCCCCATGTCCACGATATCGAATACCACTTGGGTGGTCTTTCCTGCCACCTCCATGTCGAGTGGTTCTGTTTCTCGTCGTGCCCATTGTGTGTCGAATGGTCCCTTGACGATGTATTCTTTTCCTTTGATCCTCCCCCATCGCGCTGCGATCCAGAGCCTGTTGTCTGGCTTGGTGCTTCGTACAGCAGCTGCTTCATATTCGTCTGCTGGGAGGTCGTTGCAAGGCTTCCTTCTGCGCCAGTTCTTCCTGTGCTGCGCGGCCTGTTTCCGTTGTTGTGGAGTTAGAGTTCTTCGCGCCCCTCGAAGGGCCCTGAGCCGTTTCCCAAGCCCTCGTGATGTTTCAAGGCGTCCCTGTCCGCACCTTGGCTTGCGGCATCGATCGTTTGGTGTTCTTGGAGCCACTGAACTTCCTGGGGTTCAGCCATTCCCGATCTCCTCTGTCTCCTTCTGGGAGTCTGCTTGTAGAGTTGGACCCTCCCTTCTGCATGCTTTTCCAGTTTTTCGTTTGCGTGGATGACGCAGTCTGCTTCAATGCAGTTCCCGGCACCTCCTGTTTCTCTGCATGCTCGCAGCCAGGCATTCTTGGGGCTGACCCTCATCCTGCCGTCGCGAGCCATGCCCGTGTTCCAGAGTAGTGCGGATGGTGCGTTCCCATGGTCGTATACCCAGGTGGTTGGTACCTGCTGGTCCTGCTGATTCTGATGTCTGACAGGCCAATGCCCATGGTGAAGGTTGTCCTGAAAATGGTAGTGACATTCGTGCGCTATGCACTGGAACAATGGGAGGTAGATGTGATCCGTCTTCCGCGGATCCAGCCTCTGATGGTCTCCCTCCATCATTTGAAACCTCCGGTGCACTCCCCTCAGTCCGGCCGTCTCCAGATCTGATGTGGTTTTCCCTGGGCTAAGGAATTGGTGTCGTGCCCAGTAGTGGTTCCATTCCGGGGCGGGGCGCTCCTTCCTTTGGGCCCGACGTACTGCCCAGGTGTATTCTTGCTCCGGGTAGTGAACCCCGTCCCCGCATTCCTCTGCGTGCTCCGTGGGCCTGTCCCACGGGGCGTGGTCGGTCCACGCCCGCTCCTGCGCTTCGCGCATGGCTTGGGTTTCCCTTCCGATCCCGTCGATGTGTCTACCGATGTCCTCGTGGGTGCTGGTGAGTTCTCGCACTCCTTCCTTAATTGAGTCGAGTTCCGTGCGCAGTCGCTCGTACTGGTCGTTTCGTGCTTGGAGCAATTGTTTGAGCTCCTCCTTTTCCCTGACCAGTTCCTCGATCCTTTGTCGTTGTTCTAGAATCCGTTGTTGCAGGAAGAAAAGGCTAGGCCTGACCTTCCCATCTCCTGTGTGTGTCGTCCATTCTCCGTCGGCCTGCTGGGTCAACGTGGTACCCCAGTCTTGCGCGGCCTGTTGAATGTGCCGCGGGGGCGCCACTTTCCCCTCGTCGTCCGAGGTGATGAGCGCGTACTCGTTTCCCAACTCGGAGTTGTCGGAGTCTGAGCCCGTCAATTCGTCTTCTCGTTTGAGGGCTTGCTCGATGTCGACTTCGAGGTCGTCCTGCGTGTAACTGGCAGCTGCAACCTCCTGAATCCGAACTTTCTTCCCGACCGTGGCCTGGTCGATGGTGACGGCTTCCTTCCCTGGAACTGGTCGCCACTCCTTCTTGCTGTGGCAGTTACGCTTGACGTGACCCTTCTTGTCGCAGTTGTAGCAAGTGATGCCCGATTTGTCCTTGGCACCACCCTTCCTTCCTGCCCATTGTGCCTGGGCAGCACCGATGTCCATGGGTCCCGAGTGAGTGCCGTGTGACGTACTCTGGGGCTGGCGTTTCTTCTTGTCGTTCGCCTTGGGATAGACTGCGTCCTTCTTGCCGGTGCGCTCCTGTCGTCTTTCATACTGACGGTTGTCGATGGCGATGGCGCGTGCCATGTAGGCGTCGAGTGTCAACGCATCGCGTTCTTCTTTGATCAACTCGTCCTTGACATCGTCCTTGAGTCCGTCGTAGAAACGCCTCTTCAAAGCGTCCCCATCGGACTCAGAACGCCTGTTGGCGGAATTCAGATGCGTGGATGGCCGCTGACTTTTGTTGCCGAAGCTTGGTGAGCTTGGACTCCGCCTGGGATCGCTTGTCGAAGATCCCGAAAACTTGCGTGATGGCGTCTTCGAAGTCGACAAACGCCTCGAAGATCTTGTTGGTCTCCTTCTTGCGTTCGTCCTCAATGAGTTCGAGGTAGTCCCGCTGAGTAAGCTCAGACCACTCAAGGGCTCTACCCTCCAGATAGGTTGCCGCGAAGAGCACTTTGTCGGCCTCTTCGTTGAATGGGTTGAACCTGAAGTAGGACCGGAGTTGCGTCAGGAAACCCTGGAGCTCTTCTCTCTTGGTGCCATCAAACTTGGGCGGCTTGGCGACCTTGAGATGGTCCTGGCCCCTCCTAGGCGACGCTTCCTTGGTCCTCAGCTGATGGACCTTGGCTGCTAGGTCGTTAAATGCGGTTTCAACCTTGGCGGCATTCGCAACATCGTCGAGTTGTTTGGAGATGCCCTCAATCAGGGCCTTGACCCCTTCGAGCTCTTGCTTGAGGTCGTTGTTGTCGACCTCCTCGTCGTCGGAGTCAGGCGTAGGTCTGGCCGGGTTGGACATGGTCGTTTTACCTTCAATCCCGAACTGTAACAGAGTTAAAGGGAGTTAGCAACGTGTGACGAACCTACTTCAGGACCCTGTCCTGTTAGGGTCCAGCTTTCGGTTGAAGGTAATCTCTCAAGGGTGCTTAGGTTCGGTGCAGCCAAAGGGTGCACAACAAAGACTTGTCTCAACAGTAGGCTCTCGAGCTTGTAGCGAACTGTAGTTGTGATTGCTAACTGGAGAACTCCCAGAGCTCTCCAGAACGAGTGACTATATACTACCTAATTCCCGGGTGCTCAGTCTGCTCAGTCGCTGAGCATACCGAGCACTCTGCCCATCCTGCTCAGTCACTGAGCACACTGAGCATGGATGGATGGAATTTATTTCGCCCGGAGGCACTGGGCCGAGAGGACCTTAGCACGCTAACTACATCCGGCACACTTGAGCACATTGCTCACCTTGCTCAGTCGCTGAGCGTACTGAGCAGCCGCTGATTGGCTGTACTAACGATTGGTCTGGGGCCTCCTGCGCCCCACTCTTGTGCATTCAGCACAGTGGTTTGTGACAGTTTACCAGCCCCTAGGCTAAAAAAGAAAGGGTGTGAGAGACGAGGGACATTTGGGCGAGGCGCGAGGGCACTGCCGATGAGACTCTATTTCTGCTAATTGCAAGATGGGGAGAAAAGGAAGAGAAGCTGGAAGAGCTCTCGCGATACAGGAGTTAAATGCCAGCGCGTGTGGTCACGTGCCCAACCAAGTGGAGCCACAGTGCACTCCGACGGCAGCTGCCGTCACAAAGGGCTAGCAAGTAGGGGTTATAACTTAATCTTCATAGCTAAGAAAAGTTAGTTACAAATAACATTATTATTACCTTCTATAAAAGCCTATATAGTTCTCTCCATTGTTTTGGGACTATATTTTACCCTTCTTTAGTCTTATAGTAGTTTTAAGTTCCTCCAAGTCAGAGCAGGTTATATGTTTTTACAATCGCCTATGCAAAGTAGCTGGAGCAGAATTCAGAACTATATTCTCGAACAATCTGAGCTAGGCCATTCGATACCATTAAACGTTACTCGCTGCAGCCCTCCGCGAGGTACTGTTGGGGTCAAAATATGGCCGCTCGCCCAAACCCACTGCACGGTTCCCGAACCGCTCACCGTAGTTGCCTTCCACATAGTCAAATGTGGCGGTGTGGAAAACGGAACGGTTATCCCAAATAGCTTCGCACGTTAGCAACTGCCACCTGTATCCAATCCATGGGGACTCACCAATGTCATTGGGGTTCTTCCACTTGAGGCGGACCTGCAAGTCGTGGTTCTTGTAGACTAGGTCCAGAAACCAACTGAGGAGCTTGGAGCTCTCCTCTTCAGTTAGGCCGTTGATATGCTTGACATGGCCGCCAACCGGGAAGATACTCTTCCAACCCGTGACCGGGTTGGTGCGCACGACGGGGTGGATGGCCTTCAGCTCGCCACCAACGTTTTCAGGAGCGCCCCGCGGCTTGTCGTAGAGCTGAAACCCTGCGTCTTCTGCCACCTTCCGGAAATATGGCTGCTCAAACGTGGCGGTAAGACCTTCGAGGAACTTCTGGTACGGTTCACTGATGCGGTCGTAGATTTCATAGCCCGAAGCCCACAGCGTATCTTCATCGGCAGTGTGTTAGCCATCGCCACCTAGCAACCATGGCTTATCACTCACCTCCTCCGGTGCTGGGTAGTTCCACCAGTCGTAGGGACGTGTAATCAGCCGGCACAGGTTCGAATGCAATGTCACTGTGCCACTGGGCACTGCTCTGCTTCTTGGGGCTGAGCGAGTCCGACACTGTCTTGGAATAGAACTTCTTGTTCTGAATCGAGCTGATGGTGCTAATCTCGGGATCATTCCCTCCCAGCTCGCGCTCGGAGTTGAGGATAGGGTGGATATGGAGCCCTGAGGTGGCAGGTCGACCGACCAGCTCTCCGAGCCGCAGGATAAGCTGCTTCTGGAGCTCGTTGGTTAAGCCATCCTGGGCGCGGAAGAACACGACGCCACGCTGAGAGACTGTGACTGTCAGTTTCCTTGTTCTTAAGTCGTCGAACATACTGAAAACTCACTGGTGATGGCGAGATCCCTGAGCAACTCGTCCGAGTTGGATGCAGTGAGCCACTCGTTCAAATTGGCCGTGGGGAACTCTCGACCAATGACGGGCGTAACATCGAATGATTCATAGGAGTCGAGCGCCCCTGAGAGCTTGAGGGGCTCGCGGGCCACACTTTTGGTGACCACCGGAACGTCGGCGTCGATTGCTGATGGGGCCATGTTGTTGGTGTAAGCCAATCAAAAGGATACAGAATGTATGAAATATGAATGTGAAACTTGTATCTCAAATAGGATGAAAGGTCTGCCTGGTTGCTTTGATACTCATTCAAGAGGTGGGATGCCTGTGTCTTTATACATCGACGAACCACAAGGACAATCCCCAGTCAACGTGATGGTTTCATATTATTAACGTAACACATTCTCTCCTACTGCCAATGGCTATCTCTCCACCCCGCGTCCCCCCCTCGATGTTGCAATAAACCTTGAAGAATGACAAGCAGCGTGGAGATGCTTACGGCCGACCATTGAATGGGCATTCTGTATGCAATGGCGAGTGCACACACATGTATTCCGCCATACTCGCTATTCCAAGTGGAAACGGTGGGCACCCCAGCATCAATTACTGAATGGGCACGACAAAACCCCATCCTGTGTAATACTGTACCCTAACCGGCTAGTGTAGCACGTTGAAAGGAGGAACCAGCAACGTGGCTGTGACACCCGGCACAAAACGTGTTTATTTTTCAGAAGACGGCATCTTTCAAGATCGACTAGAGGATGACGCAAGCTCAAGCCCCCACGCTATGAGTCCGTAACGGTTTGATTGATGCCTTGTACATATTCCGAGTGGACTTCTATCACTCGCTTTCGCTTTCGCGCCTGGTATCAGTATCATCGACCGCGGTGATTGCGGAAATAATGCATCTTGCTACCAGCCGGCGCCGTTAGCTTATCGGCTGGATATGGCGCTAGGATGGCCAGGTATGCCGCCATCGACATTGGAATCACAACAAATTATCATTGGTCAATGGTATATCTCGAGCTGCGGGGCGGCCAGCTACAGGAAGGAATGTTAGTCGTTTAGTCGAGCACGTTTCATCACGCCATTCCTCCCCCCTAATCCTGACCTTGGTGTGGATCATCTTCACCACGCCAGAGAGTGAAGTCACGGCTCCGGCTTTCCATTCTAGGTCTCGACTCCAACTTCATGCCATCGTACTGGGGGTGTCGCTCTTGGCTCGACTGTTCTTGCTCCCGGGATTCTGGTCCCCCCACCACAAGGTCACCGCCACTCATGCATGGCTTGTTGGGGGATATTAGCACGGCAGAGTGCCGGGATCCGAATTGTCAATAGGAGACGGCGCAGACGGCGATCTGGAAGCCAAATACACCGTGACTCTGCTATATGTCCCCATCAGACAAATGCCTAGTAGTGGTGAGTCCCCGAGCATGAAAAGAACAAGCAAGTAAAGGTCCATTGATTACATGTGTCAGGAATTACGCTGTATGTAGACTTTCGTGAGATAACGGCGAGTGTCTGAACATCAAGTTCTTATGGCAGGGTTATCTCAGATATCGCCTGCATGCAGTGCACCAGCACATGGCGACATGTCCGAATCGACGCCAAATACCCCGACACACCAAAGACGTGATTATGCGGACGGTATACGCAATGGCCTCGGTTGAAACCACGTTCCTCTCAAGGGATAAGGGCGTGCGTCTTGCTGTTGTACAGCCCGGGCCATATAAAGGACCAACACTCAGTGGCTCTGTGAAACATCCTGGGTGCCTAGGCGAATAGATCAATTTCACGGCAGTTGGGAATCTCGTTTTGATTACTACCCCAACCCGCGTAGACCAGCCACAAAGTTGGTAGGCACCAATGGCTACTGTTTTTATCCGGGGAAGAGCTCCCAGGAACGACGGGAATCAAGACAGCAAGTCGGACCCGGATACATCAACCACGTCTATCAACACAGTTCCAGCTCTCGGGGAAGCATTTCAAGCGAAGCGGTTCTGGTTTCAAAGGAGCAGAGCGTATGATCCCGATGCCATTGCTACGCAGGCAAGCTCCCCTCGTTGATAATTCACAATGGACACCGGAAAATGGCTAACTGAGACCTAGGCCAGCGTGTTCGATGACCCAGAAACGGCAAAGCAATATCAACCACCCCCTAAATGGTAAGACATACCCTGTTTGGCACGGGAATATGTCTGACGGATAACCAACCCGAAGGGAGAATACCCACCGCTTTGATCCGCTCGAGCGGTGGACCTGGCGCGAGGAGTATCAACTGCTGCGCAAGATTGATCTGCGAATCATGGTATGGGCTTGTATCATGTTCATGGCCCTCGAGCTGGACAGAGCAAATCTGGGACAGGCGTTGACGGATGATTTCCTTCCGGACCTCGGATTGACCACTAATGGTGAGTTGACGACATGACGAGGCCACTGGGACGCTGGATGTCTAGCTGACCAGGCTCTTAGACTACAATCTCGGCAACACTGTATTTCGCCTCTCCTTTCTCTGCGCCGAGCTCCCGTCCCAGCTGGTATCCAAGTGGGTGGGGCCTGACCGCTGGATCCCGGCGCAGATGACGCTCTGGAGCCTTGTTGCGAGTTTTCAGTTCTTCCTGTCGGGTCGCACGTCGTTTCTTGTCTGCCGCTGCTTGCTGGGGATCTTACAGGGAGGTTTTATTCCAGATGTGAGCAAATGGCAGCCTCATCCCTATTCATCCCCTACCTTGTGGCAGGGCACACTGACACGAAGAATCATAGGTGATTTTGTACCTCTCGTACTTCTACAAGCACCACGAGCTTACTATACGGCTGGCCTTCTTTTGGACGGCTATGAGCATCGCTGACATCTTATCGTCTCTGCTTGCGTATGGCATCTTGCATATGCGAGGCGTCCAAGGTCACTCTGGCTGGAGGTGGTTGTTCCTGCTAGAGGTATGGACACCAAACTCCAGTAGCCCCTTGCCGCGGAGCCCCCCTGGACCCGGCTAACCACCCAAGCAGGGTTTAATGACGCTTGTTGTTGGTGTTCTTTCTTTTTTGCTGATGCCAGCTGGGCCATGCCAAACCGCGAGCTGGTTTCGTGGTAAAAATGGGTGGTTCAACGCGCGGTATGACTAACCTCTATGCCCAAACTCGAGCCATGCTAACCAAGTCCGCCCCTTTTAGCGAGGAAAAGATTATCGTGAACCGGGTCTTGCGTGATGACCCAAACAAGAGCGACATGCATAATCGACAACCCATCACGCCTAGGCTCCTGTGGCAAAGTCTCAAGGACTACGATCTTTGGTAGGTGGACCTAAGCTCGGAACTGACCAAGTGAAAACTAACTGTGTTTGTAGGCCACTGTACATATTGGGGCTCACATTTCAGATACCAATGATACCGCCGAATCAGTATCTGACCCTGACCCTTCGGGGTTTGGGCTTCGACACCTTCCAGACCAACTTGCTGACGATGCCCCTCACTGTCGGTCACAGTAAGCAACAGTTGTTTCGACAAGCGGCTACGACACGCCTATGATACTAACACTGGCTAGTAATAACCATGCTCGGAGTAGCTTACCTCGCCGAAGTCTCGGGCCAGCTGACGTTGGTGGCTGGCTTGGGACAGATATGGGTTCTCCCATTCCTGATCTACCTCAACTCCGTCAACCTGGCAAACGTAAACAGATGGGTAATCTACGCGGTAACTACCTTGTTACTAAGCTACCCCAATGGTAAGGAGCTGTGCCCCCCTCTCGTATGACACTCCCAACGATGACTGATGACGGAAATACCAGCGCACCCAATCCAAGTTGGATGGAATTCCCGCAACTCGAACACTGTCCGGGCCCGTACCGTATCCGCAGCATGCTACAACATGTTTGTGCAAGCGAGCTCTGTCATCGCTGCTAACATGTATAGAGCTGGTATGTGCAGGGAATTCCAGATGGGCTTTAACATACAGGGACCGACTGCGGTCTAGACGACGCACCTTACTACAAGCGCGGAAACCGGCAACTCCTCGGGATACTCTGTATGAACATTGTGCTGTACGGTCTAGTGAAGACGTACTACGTGCTCCGAAACAAGCAGAAAGACGGAAAATGGAACGCAATGACGCCCGAAGAGAAGCTGGACTACCTGGCCACTACTACCGATGAGGGTAACAAAAGGTTGGATTTTAGATTCCAGCACTAGGTCAGTGATAAAGGGGGGCTTATTGTGGCTACTTCAGGGACCGAGTGGAAACCCCAGAGTGGCTCGAAACTCGGGAGTGTCTGGTCGCAAAGGAAGATTAAGGAGACAAGGTTTCAAAGTTCGAGCCAGGAAAAGGCCTTTTGTTGACAGAGGGGTAATAAGCTGGCGTATATATAGAGTTTTGCGAGCTGTGGATTCGGGACGTTGGACGTCGGCTGCGAGATTCACTGCAATGCGCCCTCTCCTGGGATCTTGGGGCCGCGAGGTTGCTGTGGAAGGAAAACGAACAAGGCTTGGTTTTTGAGACTAGGCCTTCGATAACAGTGTCTCAATGAGTCTTGGGCATTGGTTTGCGGTGTTGCATCTTTGCTGTTCATGCACTTTCTTTCCTTGATTCTCGGACTAGACCGAGTGCAAAAGCGAGAATTGTCGTTGCGTCCCACGTGATCCCGAGTCTCGGGAACCCCTTCCACAATTGTCGGTGGGGGTGGATGTGTGCTACCCCGCCATGTGGGGTCGTGACTGAAGCTTGCCAACGCGTTTTCGGGTTCCTGTACTCTCGGCGACAGGAAGGGGATTGCTCCCGCTGACGGAGACACCAAGCGGGAAGTCTGGGCTCATGAATAAGCGGATTGCAGGCCCAGCGGCGAGGCTAAATATCACGTTCATGCGCAGACTCCACCGTGCCTTTCTTGCGTCCGCTGTCGGCCGTCCTTCTTTTCAGCCCACTCCTCCGTTCTTCCGGAGCGTTGTCCAGCTCTCCACCCGGGCCGGTGTATTTTCTTCATCTCGCGCATTCAGCCACCTGCCACCGACGACCTTAATCCCGTCTATTATCGGCTTCCAGACAACAAGAACAACAACACCGGCACATCCCCGCAGGATGTCGACCACGGCAGAGGAGCAGGCTAAGCTGGTGGAGACGTCGAAGCGTCTCGCCGCCTACCAGGCTGTCAAAGACCACCTGCTCCCAGAGTATACCAGGATAGGCATTGGCTCCGGGAGCACTGTCGTCTACGTGGTCGAGGCAATTGCCGCGCTCGGACCCGCGGCGACGTCCAAGATGGCCTTTTACCCGACAGGCTCTCAATCCGAGGAGTTGATTGAGGCGGCAGGGCTGACCCTGCAATACATCAGCAAGCTGCCCGCTGGTCAGCAGCTGGATGTTGCGTTCGACGGCGCCGACGAGGTGGATGACGACATGAATCTGATCAAAGGCGGTGGCGCTTGCTTGTGGCAGGAGAAGATCGTGGCCGCCAGCGCTAAGCAGTTTGTTTGCGTCGCCGACTTCCGCAAGCTTTCACCACGCCTGGGGACCGCGTGGAAAAAGGGAATTCCCATCGAGGTGCTCCCCATGGCTGCCCCGAGAGTCCTCGACGAACTCCAGCGGATGGGCTCGCAAAACCCCCGTATACGCCCCGGTTTACCTGGAAAGGCTGGCGCCATCGTCACAGACAACGGCTTGTGGATTATCGATGCGCCCTTTGCTCCGCTTCTACTCCCTAAGGACACAGAAACTGACCGCGGGACCGATGGCGCCTGGACTGTTGACGCACTGGCGGATGGGTTGATCAAGATTCCCGGGGTGGCTGAGATCGGCTTGTTTTACGGGAAGAACGGGCTCCAGGTTGCCAGCGGCGCGCAAAAGCCCGTTGCTGCGTATTTTGGGATGGCCGATGGCTCGGTTGAGGTCAAGACACCGTCGTCTTGAACGGAACGAATCGGTTTACGGTGGAGACGGACGCCCCAGGGATTGCGCTATGTATGTTTGCCGGAGGAACTACTTCGGCACTAGCCAGGAGGGCCGCTCGGGGGGTCGGAGTTGTGAACTTGCACTTTGTGTCCGGGCCTGGCGGGGCCTCATGTGGAAGAGGCTGTAGTTATTGTCCGTGGTCTCTGCCGGCATGCTAAAGCCAACTTTATATGTTGGGTGTAGAATCGGACGCCATCGTCTTCATTGGTCTTGAGTCTAATGGCATTATCCGGGGAGGCGGCATTTGGTACGCCATTATCCGCCGCCGGGATGATTGGCACCGAGCTTTATCGGTCTTTGGACCCGGAGGACGGTTTGTTGCCGCCCGGGAGCGGCGAATGCCGGGATATACGCCATGGTGGGTGTTGTTGCTCTTCCGCTGCCTCTTACCTGGAGTACTTGACCCTATAGTGCCACTCCTTTAGCTGTCGTTACTGTAAATTTACACCCGGGAGATGTTTTAACACACTCCCGTCTGGGTCACCGTGCCGGCTGCGGTGGGCCCTGCTCCGATCTGATTCATCTTTCACAACCGCCCCACTAGACGGATTGCATTTCCGATAGATGACGGATGCACTTAACCTTTTCTCTTTTTAGTTGAGGAAAGCGCGTACCAGAAATAGGTCAACCCGCGTTGTAGAGCGGGCCAAGCGAGGCAGAACGAAGAAAGACTGTCACCTACTAAGCACACATCTACTCGGTGCGTTAGGGGAGGGGCAATATTGAGAAACAACGGATTTCTACTTCCCTAATCCTAGTGAATTGCCGTTGTAGGCCAAAATATTATTTTAGCGGCTGCCGCACTTAAAGTGCCGGTGTTTTTACCCTTCTTGCCCTCTTCCATCCTCGCGGGCATTTGAAGTGGTCGTTGTTGTGGGCCGCCCACCGAACAGCCGACCGAAGTGGGGGCGGAGTTGTCGCCGCTGAGTTTGTTTCTCCCTGATTCAGACTTTCGGCAACACAGGTGACAGCAGTCAAATCAATCCAAGCTCCCGGTGAACCAGGACGAGTGTGGACGACGCAGTTGGTGGTTTCAGAAACGGGGCAGAAGTGGTGTTAGTGGTGGGGTTTTCAGAAGACGCTAGAACATGCGCATGGATATTTTGAGTCCATAAGGGCCTACAAGTATATATCTACTCCGTATGATCAGGCGCTTTGGCGGCCGCGATTCTACTATCATTCCCCTACAATTCTGCGTGTTTCTTTTTTAACTGTGGTTACATATCAATGGGTGCGTTCTCCAGTGTCGGGGGCTACCATCTTGCCCGGTCGCGGCGCGGGGGCGGGCGCTAAGGCCAGGCGCTGCGCTTGGTCGCCCGGTGAGGTGTTTTGGACGGGTCGCGGACAAACAGAGCACCGTCCAATATGAAAGCCATCATTCAGGATAAAAACTGTGCCTGCACTATCCGAAATAACCGTGCCGATTGTGTAGGCCCTCTATACCGACCTCATGTCAATGGTGTCAGGATTCGGAAACGGTGTGGACCGGAAAGGGAGTGACGTCCGGAGTGTGCGCTGTCAGATTGAGAACACTCCGCGATCTTCCCGGAGCGGAGAGATCCCACCCAGACAGCCGGATCCACGAGTTCGTGCAAAGGTCAACAATCCGTCTTTGTATTTACCTCGCAACCATTCGTTAACCGAGGTGAGTTAGATGGTAACAAGGTGCATGATGCGGAGGCCGCTCATCAGAAAGCGGCCGGCGTCACGGAGAGGAGGTCTTTGGGGCAAGGGGGGCCAGACCGAGCCCCTACAACTGAGTTCCACCCACGGGCAACCCGCCCATGGTGGGTGGTGTGCGTCCTGCATCTCCGGCGACCCCACCCGCTCCCGAGGGTGCTGTGTCCCCCCGAGGATTTTTGCTGGTGCCAATCGTGACTGGCGGACTTCGCACCCGGAGATTGCTGCCCTGGGGCGGTTGCCGCTTCCTCTTTTCGCGCAGACTTTGCGCTAGATTGTGCGAATGTTGTTTTAAGGTTCTATGTATACAAGGCATGTTCGGCAACACGCTGGTTTTAATTTTCCGCATTATGATGCCTATACATTTACTCCCACGGTCGCGGAGGGAAGTGGATGCGCAGCAACCGGCGTCGGAAAGCCTGGCGGCCGAGGAGTCCGAGAGCGGATTGGAGGGTTCGGGAGCGGTAAAGTTGTTGGGCGTCGGCCGGCCTGGAGATTGGTTCGTCGCGAGGCGCAGCCACCTTGAGAAAAACTACTGCTTTGCCACCTCGCTTGTTAACAGTATAATACGTCCCTCAGTTTTGACGAGGGAGGCGTAGGACTGAACGGGGATGGCAATGGGAACTCTTACTTTGGGACGGCCCAAGCCGGAACACGGCCCCACTTTGGCCTGACGTAGCATTCCTGCGCGTGACGCCCGCGACTGTTCACCATTGCGGTCCGGAACTTGGACTGTGCCCGTCCGAAGAATGCAATAGCGCGAACATGCGATGCTAGGGCGCGTCCGAATTTGCCGATGGGGCGCGAATGAGATCATGGATTTGTGGCGGATGTGAATTAGGGCACGAGCGTCCGGACTGTGTGTGGGGCTCCCTCCCAGAGGGACCCGCATTCAGCCCGGAGGCCAAAGGAAAGCGCCGTGTTGCTTGGGCGGGAGGCAGCGCGGGCGCTCAAGGGCAGCTCGGGTGCGGTGTCGCGGATTGCCAAAGGTCGTCGTAGTCGCCTTCCATGGACGCACGGAAGCCTGCTCCTCTGCCGCTTGCCGCTTAGCTTACCATTGGTTGCATGCAGCTGAAGATCCGGCCGGGCAGGCGGCCTTTGAACGCTTGCCCGGCTTATTGTTTGTCAATTGTCTCCCCAAGGGCAACATGCAAGCGGTGTCGCGTGAAAAACTACGAGTCAGGATAGATATAACATGGAGAAGCCTTAACCTGTGAGCCGATATGAAAGGCATGGTTCCCAGCCCGTCGCCGTCTCGAGTTGTGTACCAATCAGCGGCTTTGTTCGCGCCGGGCTTGGTGAGCTGAGGCATCCGTGTCTCGGTGTCGCGCCACGGAGGGGAACAAAGCAAACAACTCGGCGGGCCCAGAGTGTCGAGTCAGAGCCATTCACTAGCATCTTAAATTCATGAGTTGAGACGAGGCGATGACTCGATGATGTTGTATGACGGAGTAGAGGTCCGCGGGTGACTTAGCTAAGTGGATCGTCATCTTGTCTACCGGGCGCCGGGCTGTGGCGGCCGATGCTGGGGGCACTTGTTGCTCATGGTGGTTTCCATCAATTGTCCCCACTTTCTCCCCGTCTCCCTCAGGACCCCCGGCACCATCAGCCGATCCGCCCGACTGTGGCCTCTTTTCTGCGAGCGCTGCCGCCGCCTCCCTTCCTCGCTTCCTGAGGTTACAGATCCGCCCGAGCCCTTTTTACCCCATCGCTCCCCCCGTCCTTCCTGCCCTCGCCTTCCCTTCCCCCTTCTCTCCTCCCCGCGACCGACTCACCCTCCGCACCGAAAGGCCTTTTACCGGCTCGCATCCCGGATTCAAATAAGATCACTTTTTCCTTTGTGCTGCATCGGCCCATCGAGTTTTCGACTCCGGCGCAGCTCCGGACCTCACTTGATTTTCCTCCGGCATTGTCGGTCTTTCCGGTGCCCCGCGTCCATCACCTAAAACCAACCCGCAACACCTTCTCGCTTGCGAGACGCGTCCTGGTTTCATCAGCCCACCCACAGCACCCAGTGAGCCTGATCACAAACCAGCCATCATCAACCATGGCGTCGGTCGTGCGATCGACAGCCCTTCGTGCCGGCGGCGCCTGTGTGCGCTGTCGGAAAGGCAAGACTAAATGCGTCTACGAGAACGGCCGATCACCGTGCAAGAATTGCGCAAAAGGCATGCACGAATGTTATCTACCCTCCGAGTCCATGAGTCACGGCGGCCATGGAGTATCACCGGCACGCGTCCAGCAGCGGGCTCGCGAGTCCCTACCCAGCGAGCGGACTGTCTCTAGCACATCGGGCGACCGTCAGGCGCCTCCGCCCTCAAGCGTGTCACGCCACGTCTCAACGACGACTGAAAAGTATGTCTCATCTCCCTTTCTTTGTATCTCTCGCGACTGCACGCATTACACAACCTTTTCTTTCTGGGTGGGCAGGTGGTTTCTTGTGCCCACCTCGCGCATTTCCCTCGATTTCCGGTGCTCCGTTAGCAGCGCCTTTTTTCTTCCGCGCCCGGGCGACCTCCACCCTCCGAGTTCCTCAATTTTTAGCGTTGGTTCCGGAGGGCTAGGCAGCTCCAATTTTCCCCACCCGGGCCTCATTTCCCAAACCGGCACACGCAATTTTCCTTTGCTCCGTGCACAGCTTCCCGTCTCACCCCGATTGTCTTGGCCTTGGCACGCAGCCACAATCTCCGTATCCTCACATCCCCATACCCATCACGGCGTTTAGCCCATTTCCTTCGGGTTTTGTGCTGCTTTCATTCCGATGGGCTTGCCGTATCTACGAGGGCTCGAGAGCACTCACAGTGTTCTTCAACCTGGGCTAACAACCATATTCTCACAGACTTACACCGGAGCTGATGCAAGAGGGCGAGCGCGTCATCTCAAAGACGTTGCCAGCATGCGTGGCTTTCCACAAGCCATCTTTCCTTCAACAGCTCAAGAATGCTTCCATGGACCCCACCATGGTTAATGCGTTGCTGACCACCGCTGCTCGGTGAGTGCCGTCGCCGTTCCCGACCCTGCCGGCTGGGTGTGGAGCCGCCATCCGGGACTCCCGGCCCACTTGGCGTTTTGAATTGGTGATTCGATTCTAACATGGACACAACAGGCATTCTCCAGCCATGATTCGTCGGTATGGGGCCCATGGCGGCGGTTCAGCCGCCGCTGAACACTTCGCGAGCAAGACCATTGGCCTCATCATGCAGGCCATGGACCAACCCAGCCTTGCGGATATCCAAGCCCTCTGCTTGCTTGTCGTCCACGAGTGGGGCTGCCGCAATGCTGTGCGTGCCTACGTCTACCTCGGTCAGGCTGCCCGTATGGCACAGATGTACCGGGTTGTCCACACCCACCTCCAGCAGCCCGAGCCGGACCAGTTCCTCCAGGACGAGTCATTCCGACGCACCCTTTGGCTGATCTACATTCTCGACTGCTTCCTCACCAGCAGCCCTGGGCGCCACCCGGCTCTGTCGTCGCATGACGTCAAAGATGTATCGCTCCCATGCCTCGATATGAACTATCACTTTGGGAGCCCGGTTTATGTCCGCACCCTGAATGAGGCCTCGCCGCCGGGCATGTCGGACTCTAACGGCCCTCTCGCCGAAGTGGGCGAATTTGGTCACATCGTGTTGGCAACCAAGGCTTGGCGCAATGTCGTGGAGATGATGACTACTACTACTCTCGAGACGTTTTCCGAGGCTCAGTGTGTGGCCCTGGAGCATCAGATCGACGCGATCCGCCAGTCGCTGCCGTTGCATTTTGCCGACAAGCCTGGGCAAATCACCCTGCATATCACCATGGGTAGCGGCTACACGTACGCGATGATCCACGCACTCCTCAACTGCGGCACCATTTTTGTCAACCGCCGCCGAATTCTCCAGGCCGTTACGGACGAGAACTTCTCTATTGATGCTTGGCGCTTGTCTTCTCATACTCATGGTGAGGCAGTCGATCGCATTTTTGGCGCGTCGCATAGCATCATCCACTCGCTTCTAGCACTGGAGACCGGGGCGGATAAGGATAGCATTCTCTGTTTCCCGATCTTTATGCTCTTCTCCGCCTTCACCGCAGGTTCAACGGTCGCCTACCTTACCCTCAAGGGACTCGCACCGCCCGACGTCATCGAGTCGGCTGGAAACATCGTCCGCGACAGCCTGAGACTCTGCCAGGAGGGGTCTGAGTCTTGGCCGCTGGTCCTCCCTTGGCAACGTCATCTCTCTGTCATGACAAAGGTCCTGCGCGAGGTGAATAATGTGTCCCGCGACATCCACGAATCGCGCGAGGATAGCAAGCAGGCCCACCGTGTCTCGCCTTCGGTCAAGGACGACATTATTAGTCAGGCTGACACGAACCCTGATCCCATGGACTATGACCAGGCTATCCCGCCTGTACCACTTCCTCCGCCTCCTGCCAGCATGGAGGGCCGAGATAGCGAGCCTCCGGCCCCGAGACGACCCGGGATCACCACGATTAATGGTGGATCTGCTGGCGCGTCGACTCCAGCTACGGCTAGCCCTCCGCCCTCTAGCCTTGCGCCCAAGGTAGACTCCCCTGGTGCCATGTCGTCGACGTCCGTCAGCGGTCTCCCCCAGCCACCACAACCCGGCCCGGATGTTGACATGTCAGCTATCGAGCTTTGTGCGGCGTTTGAGAGGCAGCTGCTGGAGCTTGATGACCTGGCCGCATTCATGGGAGGCGGAGTGTGAGTCTCCCCTCTACTTTCTCTCGCCATGGCTTCTCCGGCGTCCAATGGATTGATCGGTTGACCATGCCCAAGTCCGCCTAGTTAGATCGCGGTGCGGTTTCATGGGTCATCATCCTTCTTTCATACTTCATTAATTCGCCATCCTTCTTTTTTTTCCGGATTAGTTGCTTTTGGGCTTTGTATCATAATGGCCATGGGCTATTGGGGAAAGGAACACTGACCGCGGAACAATGTGGCCTGGCTTCGGACGCACGCGTGGTACTGCATGTACCTGTAACATTACATTTTCATTGTTTTTTTGTACGTGGGACCTGGGTGGGTATATCTCAGTATGGCGGCCCTATTCCTGTTGGGCATCGATTTGCTCGGGGTTTGTGTCAGGAAGGAGTTTCGGAGGGCTGGCTATCTGGGTTGGCGGGAAGGGGCGCTCAAGGACATATGGTGCGGCATGGTTCTAGTTAGGTATGTAAACGCCTTCATCGACATGTACGAGGAGGTGAGATCGGCAACAATATTGTTTAACCCTACTTGAGGGTGATTTGATCGCTTGGATGTTGCTGTTCCCGCCTGCTTGAGCAACCTGGAAAAGTGGTGAAATGTACCTATGCTCGAAGGTCTCGTCCAACACCTCGGCTCCTTTTGCTACCCCGGTGACGTAGGGACGGGCCGGCCCGTCAGATCGTGCTCCTCGCTGATCGGACCCTGATCAGAATTAAGGTTTTTGCCCCAGATTGCCAAGTTATAACTCGCAACTCACTCCTTGAGAATATGAAGGATGGGAGTTCCCAGACCCTGGTTTTTTCTTGCTGTTTGTTTGTTTTAGATGGAGCTAGCATTGGTTTCTAGATGTGATTGCAAACAAGTGCGTGCTGTGTTGAGTTTGGGCTGCACCTTACTGGCTGTTAAGCGCCCCATAAGAGTATTATTCCATACCGGAGCAGACCATTGGTGTAGATACCATCGTTGTTATCACCGGTATGCTTGGACGGCCTCATTTCAGGGCCAGGGAAGCAAGTTTTTTCACAGCCCTGTGTCTCTTTAGCTGGAAACAATACCCGTAACTACTCTGCAGCTGGAGTTCGGCGTTTGTTGAACGGGTGGAGGCTCTCTTGAGGAGGGGGACGGAGTGTGGGGCCAGTTATCAAGAATGCTGAGGTATAAGCAAACTATCTAGCCTGCCTGTTTCCACCACTGAGCTCGCCAGCTCGCAGCCCGCTAGCCACGCAGAGCGTAGCGTAACTGCTATGCTTAGCTCTCGGTGTTCTCGCTCTTAGTCTTGTTCTCGGCCACGGCCTTGTGCAAAGACACGATCATCTCCTTCAGCTGCTCTACCTCCTCCCTCAGCCTTCTGATCTCGGATACCGCAGGGTCCTCTTCGAGGTTACTCTTGGCGGAGTCGACCTGCTTCTTCCAGCCATCTGATTCGAAGTCGAACTGCCCGACCATTTGCTCCCACTCCTCAATAGTATCATCGTCGGCATCGCCACGGGCGCGGTTCGCGCGGATATCTTGGGCCCAGCGCATCTCAAAGTACGCTGATACGAGGAGCAGAGGTGAGTAGATAATGCCCATGACGATGTCGTTGATGTGCTCGTATGTTTTCTTGTCCATCCACCACTCGAGCAAGAGGACAAGCCCAAAGATCTCGATTAGGTTGAAGGGCGCAATGAAAACGTTTTCGTCCGGGGCGCGGACAAAGGTCATGGTTTTCTGAGCGAAAATAGCGAGGTACTCGTCGTTGGCGTTGTCGTAAATATCTTCATAGGCTGAGTTGTATAGCGCGATCAAGATATTGAGGAGCACAACCTGTTGATGGTGTTAGTAAACCGAGGATAAAAAGCAGACCAGGGCGATTATACGTACCATAACTACAAAAGTAAAGCAGTAGTATAAGATCAGGCCAAACGGCGGCTGAAACCTCTCAAAGCCACTGAAGTCGGGAGACTGCATCACGGCATTGGCCATGGATTGAATGATGAAGAGGATGTCCTCGACAACCCTATCATCGGCATAGTCGAGCCCTATGAATGCCTGTAGGAACCCAACGATGATGAAGGCCAACAGCGCAAAGAAAATGATAGACTCTTTCATCATGACCTTGAGTACGACTAGCATGGCGCCAAAGAAGCGGTAGCTATCGAGATAGAGCAGCAACCTGGCCCAGAACATGGGGGCGCTCACGGCTAGGAAGCTGTAGCTCAGGGTGCTGTAGTGGTGCCGCAGTCCGTCGGGATCGCCCTGGGGGTGGCTCAGCGCGATGCAGCGCAGCACAAAGCTGGTGATCAGCAGACTGTACAGCATCGAGTTAAATGCGTTCCAAAAGTTCAAGATGCGGTAGCCCGCTTTCCAGAGCTTGGCGATTTCGTTGCAGATAAAGCCGAGCGTGAAGAGATAGAGAAAAACTTCGACAGCGTCGATGCCCCCGTCCTCGTTCACCGTGTTCATGGCAACGGTGTAGAGGCCGAGGTAGGCGAATGACATGAGCATCTGGGTGGCATTCTGATACATGGGCGCGCGCATGCGGTCTGGATCCAGATGGGCAATGTAAGATGTGTTGTCTCTGTCCTTGTAATCCACGAAGGTGGCCGGATCGTTCTCGTCCTGGACTAGCCACCCGCGCCAGAGGAAGTTGATACATTTTTGATAGCCTGAGGACCCGATGACGCGCAGGGCGTGGAGGTCAACCGCTTTCTCGATGACATTGACGGGGTGGGTTGCGTGGCCATCGACTAGGATGGAGTACCGCTTGAGCAGGACCGAGTGCAACAAGTACTCGGAATCCTCCTCGGATTCGATGATCTTCTTGGCGATGACCTCGCAGGCAACAGCCCGGAGATAGTGGAGGTCGGCATCCCACAACTCAATCAGCGCCTGGTGGCGCCACCAGCGCTTGTTGACCAGTAGGCAAAACACCACACAAGCACCATGCTCGCGGCCACCTGCCTCCTTAGCAGCCTTGATCACCTTGGAGGTGATGACCTTGCTGTGCGGGGATGTGATATGGTTTTCCTTGAGCTCGCAGGGCACGCACTCCTCGATCAAGTGGCGGATGCGGAGGGCGACCTCGGTGACGTTCTCGGCTGGAATTGCCGACTGAATGGAGTCGTCGCGATAGCTCGGGAGAACTGGTGGGCACATACACGGTTAGCCTCTAAACAGTCAATTGGCAAGAAATAGCCATTGGGTCGCACGCACGCCGTTGTCTCGACTCATCCCACCAGCTGCTGTTGCGATCATGGTGTCCTCGACTTGTGTGCCGATCCCAGCCGAGGAAGCGGCTCCATGCCGGCCCAGGCATTTTGGCAGTTTGTTGGTCTCACGACGCGACCGGCTCGGTCCTTTGCTGCCCGTCGTCAAGAAACTCTTTGAGCGGGTGGTGGAGCTCCGAATTGGTCGGGCTTGGCAGTCAGAGAAAGTGGTTTCAGCGATCGAGAGAGCGATGGGGAGACTGGGAGATGGGTTGAGAGAGAGAGAGGATAACTAAATGGCTCCCGGAGGGACGACTCTTTCCCTGCGCCATCTCTCTCGTCTCTCGCGCCGTTCACTGCGTTAGCGTTGTTGGTGTCCTAAACCGGGCCAACGAGACATTGGGGTTTCAGCTGCTATTGGAATCAGATGACGTCGCTAATGGTGGGGGCTTGTCACATGGTGATTACTTCTTAACGAGATGCAGCTGATAAACTGAGTTAAATTGCTAGTGGGCTAGCTAGTCCCGGAAATGGCTGGTTTGACTGGGCCACATCGCTTGCAAACCTTGAATCGGTGGCCCAGACTTGCGGGGCGCCAACAGGGAGGCTTGAGGTGGCAGGGTGGCGGCACGAGGGGAACGAAACCAATTGAGGAAGGTTAATGTTACCCATTCCCATTGTAATGCTCCGTCACAGCCGTCTCCTTTATTATAGAAAGCCCAAGATATCCCGAAATGATCATAAGAAGCGTGGGGGAAATATTTGTTTGTATAAGCAGTGAGACGCTCAAGGAAAGAAAACATAATGATCCCCTGTCTGATGCGAACCCCGCGATAAGGCGGACCTCAGAGACGCGCCAGCCAAAACACAAAACCCCAAATTGCAGAGCGATGGACCTAATGAACTTGCAAGTAGGAAAAGGAAAGCTAAGAGGGTTAAGATCGATGATCGGGAGCTTCAGAAATAGCTCCTCATGGCATCCTGGTACCCGGGGCCGCCCTTGAGATCGCGCTCAAAGTTGGTCTGCACATCCAACACCTGCCGAATGTGGGTCATCGCGAGGGGCTCGCCTTTGTTGACGGCCAGCGCCTGCGCTGTACGCACCGTGTTCTTGATCTGCCGCCCGTTGAGCTCGTGCCGTGCCAGCGCCGTGTAGTCCTCCTCGCTGAAGGGCATTAAGTTGATCTTCTCAAGCACCCGCACACGCTCGATAAAGATCTTGAAGATGGCCTTCTTAGCCCGGTGGTCAAGGCTGTCGTACCGCAAGGCGATGTGGATGCGGGACTGGAAAGCGTCGTCAAAGGTCTACCAGACATGAATCAGCATACATATATCCTTTCTTCGGCCAGCGCCGGTTTGTGCTTACCTCGACCCGATTTGTGGTCAGAAACAAGATGCCCTGGAAGTACTCGAGCTGCCGGAGGAAGATGCTGACGAGGGCATTTCGGTGGATGTCGTGCATGTTGCGCTTCTCCAAGAAAACATCGGCCTCGTCCAAGAGGAGAATCGCACCCCATGCGTGACAAATATCTAGGATCTTCTGGAGCTCGCTCTCGAGGAACCGGGAGTCGGTTCCCAGTTCACCGGCCGACGCCATGTACAGGGGGCATTTCAGCAGCTCCGAAATACCTTCTGCGGTCAAGGTCTTGCCCGTGCCAGGAGGCCCATGGAGGACAGCTGTAAAGAAGTCAGTGGTGAAGTGCACCAGAAATTAGCGTTTCAACGTACCAACAAGCCCCTTGCCTTTGCCCTGAATAACGTCATCGATGCTCTCGGCGGCATGGTACTTGTGAGACTCAACGAGTGCCTAGCTCCCCGATTCTGTTAGAGAGGCCCCGCACAGAGAAAGAGGGGTTGTCGATGAACGTACCTTGACGATATCCTTCGTCTTTGGTTCCAGAACCAACGACTCGTACGCCGCCTCGTTCCACTGGATTTCTTTAACGCCCGAGACGGTGAACTCTAGCCACAGCTTCTCGGCAAAGGCGAACCCAAGCACGACCGGGGACGCGATTAGGTACTCTTCATCGCTAAACTCGGGTACTGGCTTGGTTTTGGTGCCGTCTGATGAAGGCGTCGCCGTGCCCTGGTCGTCCTCCTGCGATGCGTCCTCGCCCTTGGCGGCCACATTGTCGAGTTTCTCTCCGACGATATCGTCGTCGTCGTCGGATTTGGGCACACGTATAAGCTGCACCTTGCCCTTCCCGTCTTTATACGCCTTGGTGACATACTTGAGTTTCTCGCCGCCACTGCTCCCATTACCCTCCTCATCCGAGTCGCATCCGCAGCAACCGGATTCGCTGTCCGAGCCCTCATCGTCGGAGAGGAGGTCATGGTCCTTTGGCCGTACAAGGGAGATTGGATAGTTGGGATTGATGCGCCGGTGGATGCTGGGATCCACCATGATGCGACCGTTGATGTTGACTTTGATGATGGACTTCTTCTTTTTGTAGTAGGCCATGCCCTGGTGGCTCTTGTAGTGCACCCCGCCCAGTGACACAAATTTCTTGCCACGCTCGATCAGATCCTTGCGCAGCTGTGCTTCGTTCTTGTGGTACTTGAGGGGGTAGCATGCGAGGCCGGTAATCTTGCGCGCACCGCGGAAATCGCCAATCTCCTCGGCGACGTTCCCGAACCCGTACTGCTTCCCGTCATACTCAAAGTACTTGCCCTCGAGGTAGTAGTAGTCGCCTTTCATGAGGCCGTGATGTTTTTCTGCCATTTCCACCTTGAAAACGCGGGGTTCATCGTGCGAGCCGTATGTGGTCGTATACGCCAATGTATTGGGCTTCCACAAGGCCCAAAGCAGGTCGAATGTAATCAACCCGTTCTCCAGCATGGGGTAGAGACTGCAAAACATGTTAGTGAGCGCTGAAAGGAAGGTTAAAGCAAGGCGAGCACCACATACCTATTCTTGATATCAGCATAGTCTTTGTTGATGTACTTGACGAGCACTCTCAGATGTTGGCGCTTCTGCTCAATGCGCTTTTGCTCCTTTTTGCGCTCCTGCTTGTCGCCCTTGGTCGCCTTTGTCTTCTTTAGCTCCTTCGAGTGCTTACGAAGATCCTCGAGGTACCTGCGGCCCATGTGAGTGCGGGAGTACAGTGTATTTCAGGCTCAAACTTACAGGAAGAGCATGTTGGGGTCGAGTTTGGGCGTGTCGTCGACCAAGCTGACGCCTTTTATGTCCCCTATGACATCTTGTAGGCACTCTCGAAGCAACTTGCTCTTGATGTCAACAATGGTAGCTTTGTACTTTCCTTCCCAATCAAAAGTCCGGCGGACATGAAAGATGAACTCTTCGTACTGAGCGTCAACTTTTCCTTCGGCTGTGTCCTGGAGCTTGTAGTTGTGGATTGCATCGTCCCACACCTGGTCAACGCGCTTGTAGTCCAGCTTTGTTGCTTTCTGCCGCTTCTTCTTGTCATTCGACTGGTTGGCATCCAAGAGCAGGTTGGGGTCAACCCCACCGAGGTTGAGGGCTGCTCGCCCAGAGGAGCGTACCCCCCCACGACGGGGCCTTGGGGGGCTACGCCGGAGCCCAGTGTCGTAGATGGGAGGGGGGACGGCGTTACTGTGACCTGATGGGTACCCGTACGAACCGCCGCCTTGCTGCTGCTGATGCTGTTGCTGCTGCAGCAGAATAAGTTGTTGGATTTGCTGCGCCAGGTTGGCTTGGGTCTTCTGATTTTCGTCGTTGTCTGATCTGCCACTTCCGTCGCTGTCCAAAGAATCGGAATCGGAATCTGACTCGGACTCTGCCACTCGGGAAAGGGCCTTGCCATGTTTCTTTGTGCGCGCCTTCTTTTTGGGTTTTTGGGGTTCCTGGCGCTTCTTAACCACCCGGTTCTTCCTTGGGGCTTCTGTTTCGGACTGGTCGTCGTCCCAAGATGACGCGGAAGTAGTTCCACCGCCATCATCATCATCATCGTCATCGCTATCCGAGCCAGACGAAGACTCGGGCGACACGGCCTTTTTGGATTTCTTCGATTTGCGCTTGGAGTGTTTCTTGGAGCGCTTCCCTTTGATGGATTTCTTTTTGGCCTCAGACCTGTCGTTGGTCGTGGTTTCGCCTTCCACTGCTTTGGCACCGCCTTCGGCCGGCGCTTTAGGGTCGTCGGTCTTCACTGGAGCCGTGGGATTCCCCTCGCGCACATCGGTAACAGACTTATCCTCAGCGTCCATGGCTGCGAATGTGATAGGAGTTTGCTGGAACGTGGACTTTTCTGGAGAGTTTGCGGCGGGTTGCTGAGCTTTAGGGTAGTTTACTGGTTGCGGGGTCGATAGTGCGGATGAGAAACGCGGGGGAGATTTTGGGCAGGTTGGCAGGCAAGTTTAAAAGGTAATAAAGGTTTCAAAATGCTGTGCGACGACCATACAGCAACGTGGCCGGCTAAGGGAGGCCTAGTATATGCAGCAGCGTGATAATCGGAAAGTAAGCCAGGTACAGATGGTGATGTGCCGGAGGCTTGCAGGTGGTCAGCAGACGCTAGGTAGGGTGGTTGTTGGTGGAGAGTTGGAAGATAAAGCCGGAGAGAAAAAAAGTGGCACTAAAAAGGGTGTACTTGACGTTGGGAAAGAGCTGCATCCGACGAAACTTGAGATGATAGTCATGCGAATGAGAACTGTGGAGGTTCGATGGTTGTCCGATGGGTTCAATGACGTATATATACAAGAGAAGGGACATCAACTTCCACTCGGGGAAAATAGACCGCACTCACTGTATCACGCTCCGCTGCGTCTCTTATATAGAGCTACCGGAAAAAACTGTTGGTGGTGGAGGAGATGTCGAGGAATGGGTCGCACGTGGGGACGTCGAAATCGGTGAGATGGGGTGGGATGGTTGTAGAGTGACGTTCGTTAAGAGCAGGAAATTGCCAAGTTGACAAGAATGCGCGCCACTTCTTTCTCAGCTCCCAGGCTCTCCAAACTGTTGGGATCGGACCGCGAGGCGACGTTCCGCCTGGTTGGTTCTGGCTATTTGTGTGATCTTGCGGGCTTCTCCGCTTGGGTGGTTCACTCCCTCGTTGCCTCGTTGCCTCGGGGGCGGAAAGCGGGTTCCGTCGGGTTCGAGTCACCAAAGAGCGGGAAAAGCAGAGTGTTGGGGCAATATTAGGAAACAAATACCGTCAAGCTAATACCGTTGGCGGATTTCGTGATGTATTTCAGTGGGTGAAGGCGGCGGGAAGGGAGTGTAGCATATCGGAACATCAAGAATCTGGAATGAATGGAACTGCGATGCATGTAAGTCCTGTCCCGCCAGGAACGCGAACTGGTGTTTGGAGTTCCGCCCAACTGCACCCTGCAAGGGTGAGCCGCAGAAGGCACCCCAGTCTCGACCACTGTGATTGCCTTGTTTGTTTGACTGGACAGCGAGCTGCATGAGGGTACAGGCAACCGCCCGCCTGTTGGGTTGGTGTCCTGGGACTGGCTTATGGAGCTACCACTCACGGCCTGGCCGGGTTGTTTGTGTAAGCATGGTTAAAGATGGCGCAGCACACCCAGACCCCGATGAGTAAGTATAGCATTGACGCTGGAAACTGCAGGTCATCCCCTGCGGGGTTGGCACGCGATGGGAAGCCTCACTTGCGGCAACGAGTTTATCGGGAGTTACCGAGGCAGCAGTAGGCATTTCCGGTTCGTGGGTTGCCTTCGCACCAGGTTCGATATTCAGCTCCTTGTGGCGCCCGACAGGATGCCCCTCAAGCATGGTACATATGGGAAAGCCTGGTTGGTTGAGCTGGACGTTTGTGGGCCAACCATAACGACCGAGCCGAGTTGAGCAGACAGACGCTGAACTGGAACAAGATTGCACACGCACTACGGTGCTCCAACCATGAGGTCCGTGGGGCCATTCGGGAGACCAGGCAGCGCAAGGCGGGCGTGCAAGGCTACCTGCACAGGAGAGCTCCCTTGATATGCGAGTTTCTAATGCGGAAGGTAGCTGATAAACTGGTGAGTAGGAATGGTTCTCCAAGCAGAAGTTTCGCCCGTTCTCCTCGAGTGTTATTTTGTTCAGCCGAGGCGACAAAGACCAGATTCCGGCACATTTGCATGGGACTATGGCCTGAGGAGGCCCGAAACATGAAGACTATCCCTGCATGTTGAGGCTTCGTGGGTGTTTCGGAAAGAGAGTGCACATGGGAAGTTGCAGGGGCATCACGAGGCGTTGAGCATTTTCGTAGGCGTGCAGACAGATGTACATACATACGGTTGTTGACTGACGCGTGGAAGTGAATTTCGGGAGAATACACGCGAGGATAACAGAGGCCGGAAGCGATGTCCGAGGTTGGCAGACAGTACTTGGGTGCCAAAGCTGTGTTTAAAAATGGCTCCCTCGATGGAGCTCGCCGGTTCGTGATCCAGGCCACACCAGCGAGACCAGGTGGTGCGCACGGCGGAGGATGCTTTGCTGTGTGCCTGCGTGTCGCTGCTGTGGCCACCCGTCAGTCTCCCACATAGGTAAGAGGAGTAAATTACTGCAGATGACTGCAAATGCAGCTTTTCCGGCCGCAACAGCCCCCTGCGTGGCGGGATTGTCGCTGTGTAAGGCCTGCTGGCACCCATTGTCGCTTGCAGGCGGCTTTGCAACCAGGGAATGGGATCAGCCGGGGATTGGGGTCGGGGTGGACGGGCCAACCTTTCTCGGGGTTGCATGCATGTACCCCTAGGATCAGCACCTTTGGTCGTTGGCCTTCGTGAGAGTGAAAGAAAAAGGGTAGAAATTCTGCTCAAGGTCAGGTAGGTGCATTTGAAGTGCGGGTTGGAAGGAGAGGGCTGGGATGGGAGAAGGCAAAAACTGGCGGGGAGGGCTTGGGAGTCACACGTGACCAGACCCTGGAATACACCCCTCAACGAGGACCTTCCTTCCATCAAAAAAGCAACAGCAACAAGTTAAGCTCAAGAGTGCCTTGTGGCTGGTGCGAAAATAAAGGGACAAGCCGGGAGACGTTGTCATGGCAGGCACAAAGAGGAAGGCGCCGGACGATGCGGCAGAGATGGACGGCCGACCCAGAGCCGACTGCGCCCTCGGACTCCCCACCGACAGACCTCAACACGATCGGCCGAATCCCGGTCAGCCCGGCCGTCTGGAGGCTGGGGCACCCGCCGATGATTACTTTCGGCACCTGTATGCCTCCGAACCAGACTTCAGGCGCCTTGCAAAGCGAGACTCTCATTTTGCAGCGGTGTAAGTATTTGCTGCCCACTGTTCTTTTTGTTCAACCTGCCGTTGGAATCTGGAAGCTGACATTATTTCAGCCTCCAAGATAACGGGCAGCTAGACTTCAGCGACCCAAAGGCTACCATGCAGCTGACAAGGACACTTTTGGGACTCGATTTTGGCTTGAAGTTGGACCTCCCAGAGGACAGGCTGTGCCCTCCGGTTTGGCGCCTCCCAGCTAACATACCGGTGAATGGCACGTTGGCTAATAGAGAGTCAGGTTCCAAACCGTCACAATTATATTTTGTGGCTAAAAGATTTAATGGACACAACCTCGTACGAGCAGCCTGGCCGGAAGTTGTGCGGGCTCGATGTCGGCACCGGCGCAAGCTGCATCTACCCACTGCTCGGCACTGCTCAGCGGCCATGGCATTTCGTGGCAACAGGTGGGCTTTTCGTACCGTTCAAAGAGCTCCAGCATTGACACACGTTAGACATCGACACGAAGAACTTGAGCTATGCAAGAAAAAACATCCAACTTAACGGTTTAGGAGACCGGGTTCGGCTCTTGGAGCGGAAGCCAGATGATTCCCTGATACCGCTCGACGAGGCGGGTGTCCAGTCCATTGATTTTGTCATGATGAACCCGCCGTTTTACACCTCAGAGGACGACATGGTATCGTCAGCAAAGAAGAAGGCGCGGCCACCAATGTCTGCTTGCACCGGTGCACCGGTGGAGATGGTTTGCGAGGGCGGCGAGGTGGCTCACGTCGGCCGGCTGTTGCGCGAATCGCTGGTATTGCGGAGCCGGATCCAATGGTATACGTCAATGTTTGGAAAGCTTACCAGCCTTGATGCTCTTGTAGAGCAGCTCCGTGAACATGGTATCGACAATTATGCCGTTACCGAGTTTGTGCAAGGTAATAAAACGCGCCGGTGGGCGCTGGGATGGAGTTTCGGGCAGATGCGACCGGCAGAGCATGTGGCACGCGGGATGAAGGCGAGCTATTGGAAAAAGATTCTACCATCCTCTCTGATGACCGACTTACTCATGCTGCCGGCTGACGAACCGGTTGATCCGGTGATCGCTAAGATCCAGGAGATCATGGGAGACCTAGAACTGATGTCTTGGAAATGGGAACAGGGAGCGGCGAAAGGGCTAGGGAGAACGGCGGAAAACGTGTGGAGCAGGGCTTGGAGAAGAAAAAGTCTTCAAGGACGAGAAGGGGGCGAAAGTGATACCCGCACTCTTCAGTCGACTGGGCCAAAGGAGTGCCGGCTCGGATTCGAAGTCGGGGTCGTGGTTGGGAAGACGGAAACATGTATCAGTCTGCACTGGCGCGAAGGGAGCGATCCCTTGATTTTTGAGAGCCTAAAGGGATATCTCCAAGGGAAGTTGAAGGCTACGGACCAACTCAATACGGCGAGTAATTAACTAACACTGTTGGCATGGATGTCTGCGAGGTTTTAAAATGGAAGGAAAGGGCCTGTAAGAAACGGGTCTGGGTGGCGTAATAATACATGTAATGTCATTCTGGTGCCCCATAAATTTCAAGCACCAGGGGCGGCTTCTCTCAACTCAAGTCATGTGCAAGCCAGCTTTCCGATTTGACCCCACGATCATCGATAACCCTCACCACCTGGATCTGGCCACGCACAAAGCATGTCAGACCCATCCCAGACGGCGTCCCGTTTCACGCCGCAGAACCAAACCACGCACGAGCGGCTGTCGACAAATACGGTCGGCCTCGTTGCGCTCTCAGATTTTCGCAAGCGACGCGCCGAGGTCCTCGAACAGCAGGAGCGCGAAGCGCGCGAGGCAGCTCTTTCGACGCGTGCGAACGCCTCTACACCTGACCGGTCGCTAACTACAACCCCGAACATCGCGAGCGCCGATAACAGTGAACCAGAAAGACAGAAAAAGAAGAAAAAGCGGGCGAAGGCACTGGTGTCGTTTGGAGACGACGAGGAAGAAGAGGACGTGGCCGGGCCAAAAATTGTTACGGGCCAGGGAGCAGCAAAAAAGGACAAGGAAAAAGCCGCGGGTAACGATACGAACAACGATGCAGACAACAACGGCGATACTGGAGTGGAGAGTACCTCCGGCGACGATCACGACAAACGGCGGAAAGTGCCCGCTAAGGTCGCGGTCAACTCCTCAGTCGGCATTGTGCCGCGGGCACTGACGAAGGCTGCTCTACGAAGGGAGGCTGCGGAGAGAGAGGCCTTACGCAAGGAATTCCTCCTTCTACAAACTGCCGTCAAGGCTACCGAAATCGCCATCCCCTTCGTTTTCTACGACGGGACCAACACCCCCGGAGGTGTCGTGAGGGTCAAGAAAGGCGATTTTGTCTGGTTGTTTCTGGACAAGAGTCGCAAGGTGGGCGCGCAGCTTGGGGTGGGTGCGGACAAAAGTGCAAATGCCAGGCGAGATTGGGCCCGCGTAAGCGTGGACGACCTGATGCTGGTGAGGGGCACTATGATCATACCACACGTAAGTCTAATTACTTTCTCTATTTCGTATGCTGGGGCTGTACTAATATTTGTCTAGCATTATGAGTTCTATTTCTTCATCATCAACAAGACTATGGGCACAAACAACAAGCTCCTCTTCGACTACAGCGCCGAAGCTACGCCCACACACCCTACGGCTGACGGACCTGGTGCAGCTGGCATTAGCCGCGCGCCTGGTCTCTCCGAACTCGAAGGGGTGTCGGATGACCCCACCATCACGAAGGTGGTCGATCGGCGGTGGTACCAGCGTAACAAGCATATCTACCCAGCCAATGTCTGGCAGGATTTCGACCCCGAGAAGGATTACTCGAAGGATATCCGGCGCGACCCGGGAGGCAATGCCTTTTTCTTTTCGAAATAAAGGTGCCCCAGGCGTGTCGTATTGATTAGCATGGCGGTAACCCTGAAGGAGGAGCGGCAGGGTGGGAAAGTCTGATTCGGGTTCCGTTCGGACGACTGGCCTAGGCTGCCTCAGTGTAAGCTTTACTTGAACATGTCAACTTGCAAGCAATGAAATTTCGCTTACGTTCAGCCAGTCAACTGCCAGATGCCCCAGCCCATGACGGCTAGCATGAGCCAGCCGGGCCAGAATAGCATCAGCAGCAATGAATTGCCGCCGGGCCCAAGGAGCAAAATGAAGAGCTCAAACTCGAGCCTCTTTCGGAATCGTCGAGAACGCTTGCAGTCCCAAGCAGTCCATACGAGCGTGCTCGCCAGAGGCAGCGCCCTTGCAACGACAATCCTTGAAGCGAGGAACGTCCTCCAAGCAATGCTCTTGCTTGCCCATAGAGAGCCCGTGGCCACTATGGTGGCGGCGAAGTAGGTTCGGACGAAGAGGTGGAAGACGGCAGAACCGAGGAGATGTTGGAACTGAACCGCACTGTTAACGAGGGGATAAACGGTCGATATCACTTCGGACCGTTGACTGAGTGAAACGCTCGGAGCGGTTCTCGAGGCAGCTAGAAGGGCCATGTTTGTGAAGCCGTGGTTGTTGGGATAGTTGCGGGGACACTTCCATGTCAAAGGGGAATTTGCTGCTGAGTCTCGAGGGCCTCTTCAAGAGGAGTAGGAAGAGCCGAGAGAAAATTGGCCCAGTTTAAGTACTGTGGCGCTCGCGGCGGGTATGACGGAGAGGCGAACGAAGAACCTGTCCACCCGAGCCCCACCACGGAACAGGCTGGAATGGCTTGGCGCCCGCCGTTACTTGATTGTGACATGCCGAGCCGCTTCCGGTTGGGGCTATTCGCTGCATCTGGTTTAAAGCCTACCATGTCACTCTCTGGTTCCACCTCTCGGCAGTTTGTTAGTGATGCCGCCCGTTACACGACCACGGCCCCTCTCGTTCGCCCCCTCCTCGATATTTTGGGGATTGGCATCGTGGTGTTGTGGATCTGAGAACCCCGCGCCAGAAGGTAAACCCACGTGGGGGTCCTGATTCGCGACGTTGACCAAGTGGGAGTCGCTGGTGTGTTGCGCTAAGACTTCAGAGCCTATGGAGTGACACATTCGTCGAACGGTTGGGCGCGGGGGTTCGTGGTGCATCGAAACGTTCTGAGGGGTTGATGGGTACCCGTCAGGGGTCTGCGAGGGTTGGTTGCTGTTGTTGTTGTTTAACATGCATGTGATGCTTCCGACGTCGGCAATGGAACAAGGCCTGCAGAAGGGCATGCCGGAATGCTGATTGGGAAAGAAGTTTATTTAGATGAATGCCAATTGAACCGAGCATTCCAAGATGTCGACCGATACGAATAGCCCACTTTACCAAGTCGACACCGTCTCTCTCTTCGGGAGCGGGCACTCTGTCTCGAACCGCATCCGACCGGATCGGAGAGGCATGCTTCACTACGGGGCCGTGGGGCGGCGGGGCTGCAAGCGGAGCTTTCTCCTTCCAGGAACGTGCAACGGTCTTGGAATTGATTGGCCAAGCCAATCCCGATCGAGTGACCTGTTTTGTAACGACCAGGCATCACCTGCCAACACCAGAGTCCAGGTGACTGGGGCAGTAAGCAACTTCTCCAAACAAGGCTAGAAGGGTTTCTTGTACGATTTCTTAGAAGAGACTAGTTCTGAACTGAAATATACCGATGGCTGAGGATTGCGCCATTGGAAAACACTGGGTTGCCCATAGGGCCTAAACAATGGGACATGGCAATCACCACGACACATTTGTAGAAAGTTTCGCGTCATGCTTCTTAAACTTGTGCCGTTCAAACTTTGTAGTGAAAGTTTGTGTGTTGCTGACTGCCATCTGTGCTGCCATATGGAAAACTAGAGGTACCTGTCTGTATCTTTCCAGAGAAAAGTGTGACGAACCTACTTCAGGACCCTGTCCTGTTAGGGTTCAGCTTCGGTCGAAGGTAATCTTTCAAGGGTGCTTAGGTTCGGTGCAGCCAAAAGGTGCACAACAAAGGCTTGTCTCAACAGTAGGCTTCCGAGCTTGTAGCGAACTGTAGTGGTGATTGCTAACTGGAGAACTCCCAGAGCTCTCCAGAACGGGTGACTATATACTAACTAAGTCCTGGGTACCTCCGTACCTGGATCGAAGAATACTTCCATGATCCTGCGATCCGTCCTGGATCATTAGATCGTTCCTCGATCCAATGATCCATTCCTGATTGGTCACCCCTGGATCGCGTCTGCAGCTCACGATCCGGTTCCCATGGCAGGAGGCCCTTCTTTGCTGGTTGGCTCGGGGCACTACCAGCGTGTCCCGCCGTGTGACGGCAGCTGCCGTCGGAGTGCACTGTGGCTCCACTTGGTTGGGCACGTGACCACACGCGCTGGCATTGAACTCCTGTATCGCGAGAGCTCTTCCAGCTTCTCTTCCCTTTTTCCCCATCTTGCAATTAGCAGAAATAGAGTCTCATCGGCAGTGCCCTCGCGCCTCGCCCAAATGTCCCTCGTCTCTCACACGCCGGGTCGTCTGCATGCGACCATATTCGTGACAAAAAGAAGAAAAAGAACACACGAAGAGCAATTTATGGGGAGCTTTACTGTCACAAGAAAGAAACAACCATGCCACTAGACTACCAAACAGCCGTGCTCTTTTTTGTTTTGGTGATTTTCATAATAAACAACGTGCTTGGTTTGTACATACACAAATGACCGCTTTTGTCATGACGCTTTCCGCTGCTTGCCGAAAAAGACCAAACCTACCATGTTTTGTTAAGCTACCGAGTAACAGCTGACATTTTGGTGTCCGTAGCATACGTAGCAAATTATCTCAAACTTTGGCTACCATACTTGAAACAGCCCAAGTTGCATTTGGGATGTCTTCTACTTGTGCGTGGTTTACAGGGCATAGCTGAACCTTCGCCTTGGTCGCATCTTGATCATGTTTCGATAGGTAGCTGCCTGTAGATTACTTACAATGCCTGCTGGACTTTCTCGCGTGTTTATTTTATCTCAACAGTTTCCTAGAGTAGGTGACCTGATTGCCAGCTGGTGTTCAAACAGCTGCCAATTGGACGTGGCCGTGGTGTTGTAAGGAAAAACAATGCCGATATGATTGCTCTTAGATTGTCAGTTCTAGGACCGGCAGAGTTTCTGAAACAGCATATACTCACCTAACACACATTTCATTGATTCAAAACTTTCCCACGTAAATACAAGCAGCGATCTACTCCCGACCACTCTCCTTGACACTTCCCTCTCCATCACTTTGTCCATCTTCGTTCGTTCCACTCCCTCGACCTTTTATTCATTAAGCACATTGCCTCTTCATTTTGATTTCTGACCTTCCTTCACCCCAATATACTGACTTCCTATTTCTCACCTCATAAATATTCCCGCCGTCGCCAGATTTAGGTTATTCCACATCCTACAAGGGGTTATATCAAAAGCCTCGTCAACCGGCAAGAGTTGTCTTCTGGTAAGTAAGCCGGCGTTCTAATAATATTTAAGTCTAGGTCTATAAATCTTGGCGGATAAGAAAGCCGTTGCAGATTCACATCATCTCCCCTCAAACCATGCAGTGTCATTCCTCCGACGTTCTTACGATCCAATGTGGCGGCAGCTGACATGAGAAATTCAGATTCCATCGACCACCACGGAAGAATGGCTGGTGACTACATCAGCCCCCTCCCCTTTGAGCCTGGCTCTCTCCAGACCCAGCACACCTACGGCGATCAGTCCTTGGCTCCTCCAAGGCCAGATAATGGCAAAAAAAACCCCTCAACCCACCCAGGGGAACCGCCGCGCCCCAATATTTATAAACTCCTCGCCAACAAGGATCATACTTGGTCGGGCATCGTCCGCGACTATGATGACTGTCAAGAGCTTACTAGGCAGTACATGTCGCTAAACGACAAAACGGGCGATACAGACGTTGCAGGGTCAAATGACTTTCCGGAAGACAAGAAAGCCCAGAAAGAACTTGCCCGGCAGCTCTTCGAGGCTATTTTGGAAGTGGACCCCGCCGCCTCCGAGCACATACACTATAAGCCGATACGGGAACTCAGCAACCTGGAGGTGGAGTTGCTTTCATGGGAGCTTCTGGTATGGACGGATTGAGACGCCCATATTTTAGGGCGGGGCGAGATGGCTAACAAATGACCTGACAGTTCGCCACCCGCAGAGCGCAGGACGGCATTGTGGGATGGGCCAAGTGTTCGCTCAAGCCAGGTCAGAGGTACCAGAAGTGCAAGAACTTCCAGGAGCGCTTTGCGTTCGTCAAGGAAGGATGCCGGGTAAGATACCTACGTTATCGAGTTTCTCCGCAAGAGTGGCCCGACTCTAATGGACAGTAGAAGTTCAAATCGGTTGTCCATAGCATGCTGCTGGCTCCTTTTATAACCCGGATAACAGCAGCTCCGACCTACGAGTGCAGAGTAAGTATTTGCGCGCAAGAATTAGTCTGCTGGGACATGTTGTTAAGCGATTAATTGTGAACCTAACCGACTTTTAGTTAAAGACTGCGAACAAGAAGATCAACGAGAGAAAGGGAGCCCAGCTAAAAGGATATCGGGATATCATGGCGGAGAAGAAACCGAAGAGCGAAGATAACCCTCCGGCATCTTCAAAACGAAAGAGGAAACTTAGCGATAAGGGCGAGAAACCTCAGATCATATCCAGGGCAACCAACTACAAGCGCCAGAAGATTGAGATTCCGGAAAAATTAGCGGCGGTGGCTGTGGTATCACCATCCGTTCCAAGAGGACCGCTTAGCAACATACCAAGCGGCCCTGGTGCTTTATCTTAAAGCGGAAGCCAGGAAAGGGCCATCAGTTTCTCGAGATTCTCCTAATGCACCTAACCCCACCGAAGAGTCACTGGCAAACCTGGGACGACCACTCACCCCATCGGCTCACCAAATGCCTACCACGGGCGCCGCTGATGTTGGATGCCCGGTTGCTCAACCCAATCCCGCTGCTTTGGTCTACCCACCAACGGCTTTTTCGCGGCCGCCACTTGCCTGCGGACCGCCAGGGCCTTCCATGTCGCAGGTTTTCGAGGAGGTATTGAGCGATTCCGAGGGCGTCGAATCCTGGGATCAGTGGGTGAACTTTGAGGTGGATGCTTGAGGAGGACAATCCTGAATTGGTGCCTATGGATAGGTATATGTTTCGAATGGTTGTTATGAGCGTGTTTATACCAATTTTGCTGGTTACCATACCTAACTAGTATTTGTACACCTGCTACTATGGGGAATTTCAATTCCATTTTCTTCAATCGGGCAACCATCCATGGCAGCGCAAGCAGTTTCAGCCACATATTACCACCTACTATACATCAGACTGCCGTCCATCCCAATTGCTGCCGTCCATCCCAAGAGTTGTTGTGAGAAAAGCAATGCAGATTATAAAACTATGAGGGACTCTTGATGCACAGTCAATGTTGTTCTAAGTGCTGGAGGTAATCTAGGTAAAAATCGCGATTATAGGAGGATTTCTACCACATTGACAAATGCGTAACGAGGTGGCGAGTGACGGTGTGTTTGAGGGTGAGCTATTAGTACCTAAAATTGCTGGCGTCGCTTCGTTCGTCAGTCGCGCGGCCCTTCGCTACGCTACGGGGCGCTTCCTTCCTCTCTCCCGCTCCTGGCAATTTTCCTGTCCCTCTCCGGAGGACAAACGGGGCTAGGGTTGATTACGGGAGAGACGAAACGCCAATATCTGTCCGTCGGCCAACAACTCCATCTACTTAAGCCATCTACGAATCGTTTCTATTCTGCCACTCACGTTACGTATCTACACTCACGTCCTCGCTACTTACAAATCAATTAGACTCCTCTGAGGGAGCCTCCCCCGCCACAGCATCTAACGCCTGCAGTTGCCTGGTAGCGTGATCGGACAACTTCAACCCCATAGCTCGTGATGGTGTCTCGCGATAGACCCTGCTGCGGTCGAAGGGCCGCTCAAACATCAGCCCGCCGAGTGTCTTCACCCGCGAGACGGCCACGTAGGAGAGGCCAGAAGCAAACTCTGGCGCAGAGATATCGCAGACGATCTTGTCCAGGGTGATGCCCTGTGACTTGTGGACGGTGATCGCATAGCTGACCAGCAGCGGGAACTGCTCTCTTGAACATGAGTTGGCGCCGACCATGAATTCCTGCCGCACTCGGAGGATGGGAACAACCAGCTTCTCTCCACTACGGAGCGGCTCCCCGTTCGACATTGTGAAGGCCGGGCCGTCGTAGTCATCGAAGGCCACCATGATGACCTCGGGCGGGTCTCGCAGCACGTCGGCACCTTCTTTCCAGGATATGTCGTAAACTGTGTCCTGTGCGCCGTTAACGAGCCCGACGTCGAGGCGCAGGTGCAGGCATGAGAGGCCGAGGTGCGAGAGGGGTTAGGCTCTCTCTACGGGCGATCGCACGAAAGGCCGAAACGCTTGCTCGATCGGCGGCAGCCTGCGACAGGTGAGCAGAAGTGGGAGAAAGGTCATGATTGGCAACATTACAGTGATTTTTCTCTTAATCCTGCAATCAAGACACGTGACAACAGTCTTCCCATTGCCACGGAGGTCATAAAACTGGTCGCCATCTTGCTCAATATGACACACAGGGCACGTTTTGCGCGCCGCCCCCGACTGAGCAGCGTCATTCATAATCTCTGCGAAGCCCGTCCATAGCGGGTCTCGAAGCAGAACAGCGACGGTATTGCAAAGGTAAAAGTTTGCGGTAGCCGAGACGAGATAGATGGAGATGGCAGAAGCAGCGGTTGTTTGAGAGACGAAGCTAAGACGTGGAGGTGGCTTGGTGGGGTTGGATGGATGGATGGATGGATGGATGGATGGATGGAATTTATTTCGCCCGGAGGCACTGGGCCTATAGGGCTTTAGCACGCTAACTACATCCGGATCAAATCGTTTTGCCTTTAACTTTTCCAAAAGTTTGACCGTAATATTGTCCTCCAGACAGGATTATTCATACTCCGCTATGCCCGAGGGCGTGCCGGACCCTCAGCTATTTAGTGTACAGGAAAACCCTGCCCTCCTGGGCTGGATGAAAGACCCATACCAACAATCAAGGAACGATGCGTGTTGGTGAGTCTGCGTATACAAAGAGAGGAGGCCTCCTGGCCTCCGGGCGGGGGCGCTTCAGGCCGCCGCTTCCAGCTCGAGCCTCCTGGCTAAGCTGTACATCGGCAGCTTCCCCGAGTCCATCAGCCAGTCGAGGATCCTCCTCACGAGGATTGATGCCGTGTAGAACAGAGTAAAAGTCCCGTCGTGTCCGAATTCCAGGTCTCTCCCATCTTCGAGTCAACGGTGGGGCCAAACACCACACTACCAGGTGTTCGGCAGTCTCTCGTCCCTCGCCACACTCGCAGGCAGGAGTCAGAACCTCCGGGACTCCCCGTGTAAGCAAGAAGTCCCGTAAGCCTATTGCTCCCGTCCGGATTTGAATCAGCAGTGAGCTCTTCGCCTTGCTGAGACCGTCGTGCCTCCTTAGGGTTTCGTTCCGGAATAGCGTCTCCTGCTGATGGTCAAAGTCGTCCGCCGGCCTGGTGATTGCCCTGCCGTCCCGTTCCTTTAACCACCTCGCTTTCCAAGCCTCTTCTACTACCCTGTTCGTATCAACGATCCCCCCCGTCCAGCGCATGACCGTGCCCGCGGCTCTCTCCACCGCCGTAGGCCCTTAGGTCCCAAGGTTCGCGGTCGGCCCCTGTTGCCCCTCCTCGAATTAAGTCTCTGCTGTATCTTGCGGCATGTCACGGAATGACCCCGAGGCGGCCAGGGCGGCCACAGCCGACAGCGCAGGACGCCGGCAGCCAATCGCTTAAGGACCAATAAGAACTGGATTATCACTGGTTGTCAGTGATAATGGGCGATTATCACTGGTTGTCAGTGATAATGGGCGATTATCACCAACAGAGAGTGGTGATACTAGATAGTATATAGTCACTCGTACTGGAGAGCTCTGGGAGTTCTCCAGTTAGCAATCACAACTACAGTTCGCTACAAGCTCGAAAGCCTACTGTTGAGACAAGTCTTTGTTGTGCACCCTTTGGCTGCACCGAACCTAAGCACCCTTGAAAGATTACCTTCGACCGAAGCCGAACCCTAACAGGACCGGGTCCAGAAGTAGGTTCGTCACACGGCAGGCGGTGAGGACAACGCTCCCCGCCGTCTTCTTGCCGCCGTGAGGATTTAAAAAGGAGTATTTTAAAGAGGAGGAAGGAATAGGAGAGGGGAAGCAACGAAAAACAAAAAGTAGGGAAATAAAGGGCGGGCAGGAATATAATATCATTCCACCGAGATATTCTATACTTGTATTATTTCCTTCGGCCAGATCAAATCTGTTCCTGTCGGGACAGCAGTGACGGTAACAAGTAATTAGGTACCATAATAAGCAATCCACATCCAGAGTACCAGTCGAACCTGCTATGCGACCCTCCGCCAAAACTGGACCGTGGCACAATCAATGACCAAGACTATCACAATCTCGTAATCAGCTGGGGATGCAAGTTTGCCTGCGATGGCCCGGCCGGGTCGCGGCCCCAGCGAATTACCAGCACCGCCTCGATATCAACAGGCACTCAAGCACACCTGTTAGCAAAATCTGCCCTGCCTTGAGGCCTACAACATGGGATGAGACCAGCCCAGTCAACCAACAGCTGCGCTGCATTGGTTCTTGCCTAAGGCAGCCCTCTTGGGCCGTTTGCACGATTAAATGTCGCTCTCCTCCCCCATCTTTTCCGCCTTGTTAAATTTACACACACAAAGTTTCTCGATCATAATTCTCAACCTAACTCTCAAACTCTCTTCCTCTACTACAGCCATATCCTCCACGCCACCACAAGCTCCAACATGGTTGCTTTTTCGACCAACGCCTTGAGCAAGCTTCGCTCAGAGGATCAGCTCACGTTTCTCGACTCGATCGACCGCCTCCGCTTCCAAGGCATCAACAACTACATCTCCCTGCCACAAATCATTGTCTGCGGCGACCAGTCATCTGGCAAGAGTTCGGTCCTCGAAGCAATCTCGGGTGTCTCTTTTCCCGTCAAGGGCAACCTGTGTACTTGTTTCCCAACTGAACTAATTCTGCGCAAGACCCGTTGCATCAGCGCCTCTGTGTCCATTGTGCCCCATGAATCCCGCGCCGAGACTGAGCGGGCAGCTCTCCGAGCTTTCCACCCAGAACTACACGGAGTCGAAAACCTCCCCGAGCTGGTCGAGCAAGCTAAGGCCGAGATGGGCATTACAGCCCATGGTAGAGCCTTTGCCAGGGATATTCTCCGCATTGAAGTGACCGGCCCAGACCGTCCTCATCTCACCATCGTCGACCTTCCCGGCCTCATCCACTCCGAGACAAAGAACCAGACGGCTTCAGACGTCCACCTCATCCAGGAGGTCGTGAATTCCTACATGAAGGAGCCACGCTGCATCATCCTGGCAGTGGTGTCCGCCAAGAACGACTTTGCCAACCAGGTGGTCTTGAAGCTGGCACGAGCGGCAGACCCGCGCGGCGTCCGGACCTTGGGGGTCATCACAAAGCCTGACGCTCTGGTCCCTGGCGGCGACAGCGAAACCAATTATGTCTCGCTCGCCAGGAACCAGGAGATCGAATTCCGCCACGGATGGCACGTTCTGAAAAACATGGACTCCGAGAAAGGCTCCTCGGACCTTTCGACCAGGGATGCTGAGGAGTCCCTCTTCTTCAGTTCAGGTGTCTGGGCCACCCTCCCATTTTCCATTCTCGGGATTGACAAGCTGCGCGGACGCCTTAGCAGGGTCCTCTTAGAGCAAATCGCTACAGAACTTCCCAGCCTGATGGAGGAGATCAAGCAAAGGTTCAAGACTTGTGAAGCTCAGCTCGAAAAACTCGGCGACCCACGATCAAGCCCAGAGGAGCAGCGACTATACTTGGTTCACTTGAGTCAATCTTTCCAGGCACTCGTCAAGTCAGCGGCAGACGGCAACTACGACAACTCGTTCTTTGCTGATGCCAAAACAACATCGGGATACGAGCAGCGCATCCGGGCGGTTGTTCAGAACCTCAACGAGGACTTTGCGTCTAAGCTGTCGCTGCAAGGTCATTACCGCCAGGTTATTGATGGCGAACCTGCAACTGCGGACACTTCCGATCCGCACGAGGTGGCGCAAATTTCCAGGGATGACTTCGTCAAGCAAATCGAGCAGCTGATGAGCAAAACGCGGGGCCGTGAGCTGCCGGGCACCTTCAACCCAATGATTGTCATTGACCTCTTCCGTGAGCAATCTCGCCCCTGGGAGGAAATCGCCCGCCGCCATGTCGAGAGCGTGTGGGAGGCTGTCTCGAACTTTGTGAAGCTTGTCGTTACGCACACCGCAGACGGGTCGACGGCCAAGGCGCTCCAACATGAGGTTTACGGCCCAGCCATGACGGATATCCTGAAGGAGATGCGCAACAAAACCACGGAGCTGCTGGAGCCGCTTCGAAGCAGCCATCCGATTACGTACAATCACCATTTTGCAGAGACCCTTCAGAAAATGCGCACAAAGAGGCGGAGGGAGGACCAGGAGAAGATTTTGTGCCAATTCCTCAAGGTTTCCTCGCTCCCGTCAAGCACCCAATTACACAACGGGTCTTACAATCTTAAAGGCCTTTCTGACGCTCTGCTTGCGAGCAATGAGCCAGACGTCAAGCGGCACGCCGCCAAGGAAGCCATGGATTGTTTAGATGCCTACTACAAAGTAATCCTCACTCCTCTGATCCTCTTCTCGATCCCGATTTGGGCTGGCCGGGCCAAGAACCAACGCTAACATTTTGTCTCCGTAACCAGGTTGCACTGGAAAGGTTCATCGATGACGTGGCGGTCGAGGTCATTGAGGCCAAGTTGATGTCGGCTCTGGGCGGCATCTTGTCTCCTGTCTCCGTCTGTATGATGCCTGCTGATGAAGTGGCTCGCATTTCTGGGGAGTCTGAGGAGACCCGTGCGGAGCGCGAGCAGCTCAACAAGCAGCTCGACGTGCTTCGAAACGGCCTCGAGACGTGCAAACGCTTCGTGGGGTTCAGGATCAGTGGGGGTATGAGCGACCAATAACTCATTCATTGCTGCTGCTTCTTGGCCGACTAATGACAAAACGCTTCATAGATTCAGCTTTTGTTTCTTCAAGGAGCCCCATTCGCAACATCCCCAGGGATGAACTGAGCGGCTCGGGCAGCTGGGGCAACTCGGACAACGCCGATAGCACTCCCCCGTCCCCTGAATTTGAAGAAGAAGAATACATGTAGTCAGGTCAAGACTGACCACAACTAACACCCATCTGGTTGGGGGTTTGATTTCATGTTTCTAGACATAATGGATGGTAGATGTCCAAACGTGCAGTTCCTCTTCTGATACCCATTCCAGATGCCAATTATTGTCATAAGCTCCTTCTTGATACGACCACGTGCCTCGTGAACCAAAATTTACGTTAGTTCGACAATATACTCGTTACTTATTCACATCCCAAGGGAGGGTGCTCAGACGCTAAGCTCCTCATACAGTTCGTGTGGCATCGGGGGCGTTTGTGATGGTTTTAGCAAAGAGGTATACATGCACATTACGATAAAGCTTGGTATTTACGGGTTAACTACTCGCAACCGCCCCTAGCAAATATTAGGCTCTTTTCCATTTCCTTGAGTTAGATTTCTGCGTTATGCCGTGCCCGGAAACAGTTCTTTGTTTACAACCCGCACCTTGACAAAGGCCCATACAAGCTCATTAATACACGCTTTGTCCCCTCATCTTTAGACCTCGACGATGCAGCTCAGAGGTAAGGGCGTCAGCTTCGTCAGAAACAATACCAATGGAAGGACAGCCGAAGCATCCTCTCATCCATCTGAGCCCCTACTTCAATCCTGCGTTGGCCTCCCGGGGCTACCACGGTCGAAGACTAACACGTCACGGTTTCTTGAACAATATCTGGGGCCTTCAAAACTATCGCACACCCAAGCCGCCCTCAAATTTTATGGATCGCCTTCGTGAGATGCCTCGAGCAAACCCCAATGCCCAACCAACACCCCGGCATGGCTTGGGGGTACCTGATGGGGTACCAGCACATCTGATTCAGGCTGCCCTTGACCGCAATCTTGGTGCATTTCACCGCGAGTTCCAAGACGTAGGGCGTGGTATACAATGTCTAGAAAAGACGGCAGAGGAGATTTCCAACGAGATCGTTCAGGGGCTTGACAGGTTCTTTGAGCGACTTGCACCTCCGGACTCCGGGAAACAGCAGCGAGAAGAATTCGAGCGCGCGCAGAATGTCAACTTGCAACGCGAGCATCAACTTGAGATTGAAGACTTGCAGAAGAAGAGGGAGTTGGATAAAAAACGGCTAGAGGAGATGGAGAAGGACCTAGAGGCCGCAAGCGTGCGTGCACAGATTGCCGCCGCGGATCTTGCTCGAGTCCAAAGCATGATGGACGGTAAACTCAAGCAACTTGAGGAACGGGAAAACACAGAGAAGGATATTACGGCCGCATTTCTAAGCTTAAGGGAGACCATACTGGCTTTTACTGGGAGCACAGCAATTCAGCTCGGCCCTCTGCCAAATACCCTTGCGGCCACGGACAATCTGTTTTGTCCTCGGTCATGGAATCACTCAAGCCGCTCGCAGCGGAAATACAGAGTGATGGCCAAGATCTTTCAACTGCTTTTCCAACGCATCCTACGACCCGGGCTCCGCATCTTCGGTGTCCAAGTGTTCCTCGAAAACAACGGGAACTCATCAATCTCCGATGCAGAAGTCCATCTCCGCGCTCTGGAAGAGGAGCTAGAAGCCGTAGGAGGTCAGTCCCTTCTTTCAATTCCAAAGACAGCCCTACTAACCCAGTACTTCCTTTCTCAGTCGACGACACAAAGCTCAGCAACTGGATAGCCGCGACGATTGACACAACGAGCGCTCTGCAAAACATACCCGGAAATATCAAGGGAACCGCCCAAGAAATCTTCGAAGCGCTCCTCCCAGTGATACGTTTCGCGTTTATCCGCAACACTGACAAAGTCAGGGACCAGCTCTCAGTCATCTGTGAGAAGGCTGTTCACCTGAAGCTGGCCTTGCGGCAAGCCACCGGCAACTACAAGATCGAAATCCCGTCCCTAGACTCCAAGAAGTGGGGAGAGCCCGGCTGTGATGACGAGACGAAATCTCTTAACACTACGAGATGGCTGCGCATTCTTGATCGTGAAGAGGTTCGCACAAGCGCTCAGAACAAGCGCGAAGGATCGATATCCGAGCATACAAAAAACGATATTGTGTGTATCCCCTTTGGTGCGCTAACCAGACTCGAGGAGGGGGCTGATGGGGAAAGGATCAAAATCGTTGTGGAAAAAGGGTGGGTGACTACATGTACCAAGACCGGGGGCCACAAACTGAAGCGAGGAGCTTCAGCACCGACGGTTGGAGAGGAGGAGCATCATCCCCAGAAGAGAACCACTCCTAATCATGGCATCAATCCTCGCTACCTGGCTAGGGTCAAGGCGTTGGTGGTGAGTAACAGTAGTTGCGTCGGTCGGGGATCAATAAGGATCTCAGGGGACGTTGGATGACAGAGAGCTAGCTTTCACAGATTGCCACAGGTATAGCTGCCTCTAGCACGAGATCGGAAATGGCCGAGATGGGGTAGAAAACGTATGGGTAGGTGAATGTAGCATGGGGGGGGTTCAATATCGGTATTTCATGATAAATTCATCATTATCTATCATCCTATCTCTCGGCACCACCAAAGATCCCCTCCCTGACCAAGGAGGATGGAGGCACAGCAGAGACGCATGGGAAGAAGTCTAGTATCCTCGCAGGCCGGTTCTTCCCTACCGTTATACCAGGAGTCGACTCGGGGCCGCGGGGATATAGCCACGGGCCTGATAAGGAGTACGAGTTCCTCCACCAGGAAGTGACCAACGAGGATATTAGAAAGACCCTGGCAAGAACAGCAAACAACAAGGCACCTGGGGAGGATGGACTTTCCAACGGGTTCTTAAAGGCCTGCGGCGAACCCCTCTACAACGCAATGGCGGTCCTTACAAGAGGGAGCCTCGCGCACGGAGTGTTCCCGCGGCGATTTCGCAGCGGAAGAGTAGTGGTACTTAGGAAGCCCGGTAAGTCAGAGGAGCAACAAAAAACAGCGGGCGCCTGGAGGCCGATCACCCTCCTCAGCAGCGTCGGGAAAGTCGTCGAAATGGTAATCGCAGAACGCCTCTCTCGGGAAGCGGAGAAGCAGGGATGGCTCCCCGAGGGACAGATGGGGAACCGCAGCGGCCGCTCCACGGACTTCGCGATCAGGGTGGTCACGGATGCCGTACACGAGACCTGGCGGCATAAGGCGAACGCATCTCTCCTTCAACTAGACCTCAAAGGGGCCTTCGATAGGGTACACCACGGATGGCTCACAAGGACCCTTAGAGAGCTGGGGGTCCCGCTGTGGACCCTTAGATGGGTCGATTCGTTCACCGATGGGAGGTCAACAAAACTCTGATTCGATGGGACGATGTCCGAAAGGTACAAGGTGGCCGCAGGGGTCCCGCAGGGGTCCCCCCTCTCCCCAATCCTCTTCCTTCCATTTATCTCAACGCCCTACAAGAGGCTCGAGGCAGTAAGGGGGGCAATCGTGGTAGGGTTCGCAGACGACACCAATATCCTAGCCGTAGCGGAGACGACGGAGGGTACCTGCGGCATCCTAGCGGAGGCCTGGGGACACTGTGCGGGCTGGGCAGCAGAGAGGGGTATGGAATTCGAGCCAGCGAAGAGCTAACTAATCCACTTTTCGAGAGCAAGGGCCCCCTCTTTACTAGGAGAGTCCCCGAGGTGGTAACGCCGGTATGCCGCTGCGGTATGGCGCGCGAGACATTCGAACACCTCGTACTCGAATGCAACGGAGCCGCAGATAAACCTCAGCCCTGGCCAGACGACGGCGCAGAGCTACTGGAGTGGCTAGATAACGTGGAGAAGGCTGCCATAGTGGTGGGGTGGGTACTTGGGCTGGGGAGGCTGAACGAGTTCCGGCTGGCGGTAGAGCTGGAAAATGAGGAGAACAACGAGGAGGCTCGCGGCGGGGCCGAAGCGGAGTAGTAGAGGGGCACCGATGGAACAGAGGTCGCAACTTGTTTTATTTATTTTGTTACTTTGACCTCGGAAGGTGGGTGAGCCCTTTCGAGGAGATGGATCCACGAGATGGATCCACGGGGTAGCGGCGAGGCCGCAGCGGAGGTGCGGAGGTTTTCATCCAGCTTAGGCATGGTTTTTCCTACCGAGTTAATCGCTGAGGGACCGCATGTACTTAGTACCTAGCGTGATAAGAGAAATAATAAATATCATCCTATCTGAAGCTACAACCCCGTCGGTGTACGCTATTGCCTGTTACTCCGATTTGCCAAAGTTCAGTCAGACACCCCCTAGTGTGATCCGTTAGCAATGTTCTGAAATACCAGCTGAATGAGCTGTGTCGCCGCGGATGCTATCACATTCTCTCTTCACAGAAGGCAAGGGAAAAGAATGGCTCACCAACAAAACCAACACCCGCCTGCCATACCTGTCACTGCCTAAGTGTCAGTAGAACTGCAAATACCCCAGCCGCGTATGGTTAGGATGAGAGGTTGGAACTTAAAAGCTGGCAACAACATTGAAATATATAAATATTATTCATAGTCCGCTATGCCCTAGGGCGTGCCGGACCCTCAGCTATTTAGTGTACAGGAAAACCGTGACCTCCCGGGCCGGGTAAAAAACTCATACCAACAATCAAGGAACGATGCGTTCTGGTGAGTCTGCGTATACAAAGAGAGGAGGCCCCCTGGCCTCCGGGCGGGGCCGCTTCAGGCCCGCCGCTTCCAGCTCGAGCCTCCTGGCTAAGCTGTACATCGGCAGCTTCCCCGAGTCCATCAGCCAGTCGAGGATCCTCCTCGCGAGCCGTGCAGTCGTGGGATTGATGCCGTGTAGAACAGAGTAAAAGTCCCGTCGTGTCCGAATTCCAGTTCTCTCCCATCTTCGAGTCAACGGTGGGGCCAAACACCACACGTCGCTTCCAGATTGTCTCCAGCTCGAGGTGCAGTCGGAATATTTGATGGCCAAGGGCAATGTATCTCATTAGATTGTGAAGGGTTTTATCTCTGACTTTTGCGACGGTCTGTGGGTTTTCGGTTGTGTGTGGAGGAAAGTGTGTCGGTCTCGGACGGTGGGCGATTGGGACACCCGATTTATTAATATTACAAGTGCACTAGTGGCGGTGGCAGTCGAGCAGTAAATCAGTATCGTCATCCTCGGCCCAGAATGGCGTCGTGTTTTGTTAAGAATATCGACCTAAATTTCCAAGCGTCGATACTCAAATTGGTCCCCTTGATAAACGATGGGGGGTTCTGTAGGGCGTACGAGGGACGTTGAAGCGAGCCAGATGCTGACAGCCACGATCGATGCACGATCGTTGCCGTTCTGAGTGGTTGCACACGACTTTCTAATTGTTTGGAGAGCTGGGAACTACAACTTCAATCCTACGACAATGATATTAGAGGTACACTGTTGCCTACATACCTCCCAACTTAGGTACCTGAAGATGAACGTTGAACGTTGATCGATGTCTTTTGCCAACGGGCCTTGGAACAATTCGAAAAAGGGCAAAACTAACCATAGTTAAGGCAATTACCTCAACCATACTTATCCGTATTGTCAATGGGGTAGTGGAATTGATTCTCCCGAGTCACTCCGTAAATGTGCCAAAACATTGGTAGTGTGCGCGAGGAGTAGGGCCACGGGATAATTCATACGCCATACCTTCGGTTTCAGCCTGGCGTTCTCTTTCCATGATTAGAAGAAAGCCCCGTGTGCGTGCCAAGCCGGACACCACGCCGCAGGTTATGTCCGGGCGTACTTAAATGCTTAAACCCCGAGTAACGCCGTCCAGACTTTAAAAACTAAATACTCTCCGAGGACTAGGCATTAAAAGCTGACGTGCCTTTTTTTCGATTAATGTATACATTTGGAACCGTAGTGCATTTACTTTTCAACACTCGAGTATTCAACAGTCAGAAGACCACCAGACACCTCACAACTGACCCATTGAACCCATCCCACCCCTTCTACCTACCTCCTCCTACCCTAGCTACCTAGACCAGCTAACGTCGACAAAATGCATCTCATTTTGACTGGTGCCACGGGCCTGGTGGGCACTGCCGTCCTCGACGCTATGATCCGAACCAAGGACATCACCAAAATCTCCGTGCTCAGTAGACGGCCTGTCAAGTTCACCGATGACCGCATCAACGTCATCATCCACCAAGACTTTGCGTCGTACGATCATGCCCTACTTGAGAAACTTAAGGATGCCAAAGGTTGCGTATGGGCACTGGGAATCAGCCAGACGCAAGTTAACAAAGAGTATCTTTTCCTCCACCGAGAAATTCAAGTCCCGAGATCCTACCTGAAGCTGACACCTTATCCGTGTTAGGGATTACATCAAAATTACCAAAACCTACCCCCTCGCAGCTGCAGAAGCATTTCAATCTCTCCCCTCAAAAGCCGGGACCAAGGAACCCTTCCACTTTGTCTACGTCTCCGGCGACGGCGCAACCTTTACCCCAGGACGCCTGACCCCAATTTTCGGACGCGTCAAAGGCGAGGCTGAGCTTGCACTGGCCGAAATGCAAAAGTCGAACCCTTCCTCGCTCAGGGCATCCACCGTTCGTCCTTCGTTTGTCGACTGGACCGGCCATGAGGAGATCAAGCCTTTTCTACCAGAGATTGGTATGCTCAAGAGTGCTGCGGGGAGCATCCTGTCGCCGATGATGAAGTATGTGGGGAAAAGTAGATGGAGCCCAACCGCACCGTTGGGCAAGTTCTTGACGGGGATGGCCATGGGTATGTGGGATGATGCTTTGGATGGGGAGGGTGTACAGAAGTTGCCCGGTGGGTTTACGGTTGTGGACAACCCAGGGTTCAGGAGGGTAATGGGCTTGGATGTTGCGAATAATTGAGCCGTGGTTTGAGTAGCAGGGGGCCTTAAGTTATAAATATTTCAATCTTCGCTGGCGTGTATAGTATTGTCATGATATCCCTCCTCTATCTTTTGTCTTCTATTATCATATTAGGTACCCACATATTCAGGACGTCTTACCCTCGTCGACAGCTAGCTACCTACCTTCGCTAGCTCACCCCAAAACGCGCCACCACTCATCGTCTCATGGTGTCGTTGTTCCCGTACTACCCCTGAAGTATGAGTGTTATACGAGTCGCATGCTGAACGGCACTATTGCTGATATGGACTGGGTAAAGCATCAGCATGTCTGAACCATCGCCCAACACTGCTGAACAGGTGATTTGCGACAATGCGTGGTTCACTATAATATCGAGCCCCAACAAAAACGCCTTATTTGACGTTCTTTTCCCTCTCAAGGAGGAGTTCGACAGTAACTTTTTTGACAGTTCACCGACCATCGGACCGGGGTTCATGGAGATTTTTGAGTCGAAAACACCGCCAAGTATCGACAATCTCAGGCGTTTGCAACTCTCGAGGGAACGAAGGAAACGTAGGGCATATACCTTCTTGTGCTCGAGAAAGAAGGCTGCCGCCCTCGGCCATATTTCGGTCCCGGAACCGATAGCGAGAGAGGACTTAGCCGCCGAATGAAAGAATATTTCAAGGACCGCTGCACCACGCTTCCTTTATATGTCAAGATGTCACTTGAGGAGGGGTTCGAGATTATTCACCTCGGGCTTACATTCCTAATCCCCAAACCACCCGTTGGTGATGTTCCTTGGTTTCGTGCCGTTGTATGTGCCGTTGAGGCATCATTCATATACATGTTTTGGGCGGTGTGATCCGTTGAGGACGATCGATATACCTATGCGATGGAACATCTCTGCCCGTAGGGATGGGGTGGGATGGGCTACTTTCCGACAACCCGACCAAAGACAGCATCGGTTCGATGAATTACTTCCGCGAGGAGTTCTGGAAGCCAAGGCTATGGATGGAGAGGTTGGAGAAAAGGAGAAAGTTAGGTAAGGTAGACAAGGAAAAGGGTCGCAGGTATAAGGCCAACCCGAAAACTCACGCTCAGATGAAAAGAAAACACGAAGCCGAGTACAATGGTCGACCAGAGATTAAACAACGCGAGAAGGGGTACAAGGAACGACCGGAAGCCGGGGCCCGGAGAAAGGTGCTTTGGCTCGGCCAGAGTACAAGGCGAAGAGGAGGGAGCATGCCGCTCAACTAGACAACAAGGCTCAACAAAAGGAGTACTAGGCTCTCCTAGAGGTTCAGGCCAAGAAGAAGTACAATGCTCGTGCGGATGTTCGGGCTCGGCAGAAGGGGTACCGGGCTCAACCAGAGTTCAATGTATATGATGTTTTCAGCACACATGGTGGACGTGGGCACTCTCTAGCTAAACAGGCGATCTCCAAGTGGAGGCGCCGCCGAAACCTTTGACTAGAGAACGAAAAGAAAGCCGTTCGAAAGCCCAAAGTTTGCTTTTTATTTGACCCGGTTTCTTTTATTTCCATTATTTGCTAGGCTTTCTTTTCTCTTTCTTTTCTTCTTCTTTTCTTCTTCTTTTTCTTTTCTTAATTTCTTACTCCCCTTTCGAGTTCGGCTTTTTTTGGTCGGCCCCATCCTCTTCCGCGGTTTGGATCCTATGGACCCCGAGACCCCTCAAGAAACAACCCCTGTCTGCGGCATGACCCCCCTGTCTTAGGAAAGGCTCAGCTCAGGGATCGGGGACGTGTGTGGGCCAGGAATCTGCCCAATGGGGTGGGTGTCGATCATGTCTCACTTGGGGAGTTCGCGTTACGCTAACCTGCCACGAGCCTGCAAGCCAACCAAGATTATGGAAACTGGTGCTGCCCAGTTGTTGGCGATCTTGGCCGCTTTGACAACATACCCTAAAATGAGCGTCCCGATTTCGACTCTCCGGGTCGCCGGGTTACTGTGGAGGACAGAGGTTCGGACCGAGACCGAAGTCCGGGGTTGTCTCCAAAGTCAGATCGTCTCCTTTTATTCAACTGGATCGCCTTGGTCACACTCCAGAGGTTCCTTGCCTGTACCGGTTCATCAACGTCTCCTTGTCAACCACCATGTTCTTCGGTAGGCTTCTCGGCCTCGGTGCCGCGTACGTGGCCCTGGTCCGAGCCGTTGACCTCACGGGTTACGAGTACGTTGTCGTCGGTTCTGGTCCTGGTGGTGGTCCTCTTGCCGCACGCCTGGCGTTGGCCGGGCACAAGACCTTGCTCATTGAAGCCGGCGACGACCAAGGGGCAAACATCAACTACACGGTGCCCGCATACCACGCCCGCGTCTCCGAGGATGAGCATTTGTCATGGAACTTCTTTGTCCGCCACTACGCCGATGATGCTCGACAAGCGCGCGACTGGAAGACCAGCTACGACACACCCGACGGTGGCGTCTACACGGGCCTCAACCCGCCTCCTGGGTCGAAGATGAAAGGCGTGCTTTATCCTCGCACAGGCTCGATGGGCGGCTGCAGTAGCCACAATGCAATGGTTAGCGTCTATCCGCAGCGGTCCGACTTCGAGTATATGGCTACCCTGACCGGGGACAGTTCGTGGTCGCCCGACAACATGCGCAAGTACTTCCAGCGGCTGGAGAAGAAGCAGTATCTCCCCGGCCTGCCCAAGGGCCACGGCAAGGACGGCTGGCTCACCACGGAGTTGACCCCCCTTACCGTCCCGCTCAAGGACCCGCAACTCCTCGCTACCATCACCGGCGGCGCCTTTGCCCTCGGTGATCTCACCAACCAAGTCATCAACATCGGCACGCTGCTGGCGGGCGACCTCAACGCCGACAGCGAGCGTCGCGACCACAACCCACACTACTACCAGATCCCCATCGCCACCAACAACGGCGCCCGCACCGGCGCCCGCGAGTTCATCGTCTCGGTCCGCGACGCCCGCAACAAGGACGGCAGCAAGAAGTATCCGCTGGACGTCCGGCTCAACTGCCACGTCACGCGCGTCGTGTTCGACACCACGGTGTCCCCGCCGCGCGCCACGGGGGTCGAGTTCCTCGACGGCGCCCACCTCTACCGCGCCAGCCCGCTCAGCCGATCCGCGCGGGCCGGCACCCCGGGGTCAGCCACGGCCTCGCGCGAGGTCATCGTCTCGGGCGGCACCTACAACTCCCCGCAGATCCTCCAGCTCTCGGGGGTCGGCCCGGCCGCCGAGCTCGCCCGCTTCGGCATCCCCCTCGTGGCCGACCTCCCCGGCGTCGGCACCAACCTCCAAGACCACTACGAGACCGCCGTGACTGCCAAGGTCCCCAAGGACTGGCCCGCGCTGAAGGGGTGCACCTTCCAGTTCAACAACACCCACGACGCCTGCCTCGACCGCTGGCAGAACCCCGTGCTTGGCGACCGCGGCACGTACGCGTCGGCGGGCCTCTCCGTGGCCATGCTCCACAAGTCGAGCGCCAGCGCGGACGGCAGCTTCGACACCTTCGTCTTCGGCGGGCCCGTCAACTTCGCGGGCTATTACCCAGGCTACAGCTACGATGCCAGTGCTGAGCATAATTGGTGGACATGGGCTGTCCTCAAATCACACCCCCGCAATACTGCTGGCAGCGTGACGCTGCGATCGGCCGATCCACTCGACCCGCCCGACGTGCTGTACAACTACTTCGACACGGGCAGCGGGGACGCCGGCGCGGACCTGCAGGCCATGTACGAGGCGATCGAGCTGGCGCGGCGGGCGCTGCGCCGCCAGCCGGTGCGCACCAACGAGGTGCTGCCGGGGGCCGAGTTCAACACGCAGGAGGAGGTCGAGCAGTATGTCAAGGATGGCGCGTGGGGCCACCATGCCAGCTCGACGTGCCCGATTGGGGTAGATGGGGATCCGATGGCCGTGTTGGACAGCCAGTTCCGCGTGCGTGGGGTGCAGGGGCTGAGGGTGGTGGATGCGTCTGTGTTTCCGAGGATTCCGGGGACTTTCACGGCTGTGTCGACGTACATGGTGGCTGAGAAGGCGGCGGATGATATCTTGAGCGCGGTGTGAGATGTGGGATAGGCGTTGTCGAGGTGGTCTTAGTCGAGGTGGTTTTCGTCGAGGTGATCTTGGTTGTACATGATAATGTTTACCGGGTAATTATTATTAGTATTCTATTCAGCGTTCCTAACAATTCAAGTTTTTCAAGTCAGTCAATTCAAGTCAAGGTGTATTCAATTCAAGCTGGCCAGCCAGTCAAATTGAATTGAATTGAATAAATTTGGGTATTAGTAATAATAGGACTCCACTTAACTAGTTAGTTATCTAGATTAGGTGTAGTTATGCAACCCCTGGCCAAAAGTCCGCCGAAGTCTGCCAAAGTCTTGCATGGTTAGGCCTAGCACCAACATCATCAAGATGGCCGACCTGGACGACCGCTTTTCAGATGATTTGTCGTCGGCCTCGAGCCTGACACCTAGTCAGTCGGGTAGTCAGACTTCTGGCTCGTTCACAAATTTACCACACGCCGGCGGCGACGCGTTTTCCACTCTACAGCGAGCTCGAAGCGTAAAGGAGCAACTCGAGGTTTCGACAAAACCGACCTTCCTGCCGAAGTCAGTCAGTTACCGAAGATTTGGATGTACGGCAAGCCATACATCAAGACAAAATGGCTACACAAGAAGCGAAAGAGGTGGTCAAAAGTGGATGGGTATGGCGAAAGATACGTCAAGCTCGATAGGGACGATAGCAGCCTTGGAGAGTACTGGCTTTGCAATCTCTGTTTGCAGCAGGGCAGGACCTCGCTATATGCCACACCGAACGGCGCTACAACGGCTCCTAGATCCCACCTTCAGAAGAGCCACCATTCGCTGATCGGTATTGGGAGCTCTGATGGAGGCAGTGGAGCTAGCGATTCTGAGCCTAGTCCTCGCCGTCAGAAGACCCTTGAAGAGAGCCTAAGGAAGACGCTTGTGACCAGAGCGACAGGGCAGCTTTTCAAGGATACGTTACTTGGTTGGCTAGCCGGCGCAAATATTCCGTTCTCCGGAATCGAACACCCTCTTTTTCGCCAGCTCCTCTACCTCATGAATAAGGATCTTCTACAGGAGGTCCTGCCTCAGAGCGGCGACACCATCAGGGCGTGGATGAAAGCGGAGTTCGAGGCTGAGAAAGAGCTCCTAAAAGATGAGCTTGCAAGGTCACCATATAAGAAGCACCTAGCCTTCGATCTCTGGACCTCTCCAAATCAGTACGCTCTCCTCGGCATTACCGTCCACTTCGTCGATCAATCACAACAGCTTCAATTCCGCCTCCTAGCGCTGAAACGCGTATTTGGGAGCCATGGGGGTGAAAATATCGGTCTAGTCCTACAGGACGTAATCAAGGATTTCGGGCTTTCTGAGGCTGTTGGTTACCTAACCGCTGATAATGCAGATTCGGGTGATCTGGCTATAAGAGAGCTATTTCAGGCCCTTCTTCCCCAAAACGACTCGGTCTCGGTCTCGAGCATCGCGTGCCAACGCCGAATTCGCTGTGTCAATCACGAACTAAACCTCTGTGCGACTGGCTTCCTCGATGGTACATTCAAGGAGGCAATTAAGAAGCTCCCTCCTGGATCAGAGGAGCGTGAACTCCTTCAAGAAGAAAACGACTTCCTCGAAAACTGGCGTCAATCAGGCTCAATCAACAAGCTTCATAACCTAATGGGTTGGATCAGGAGAGGCGCACAACGAACGGAGCAGTTTCTTCAGCTTACATGTGGTGAGCTGACAGAAGAAGAACTCCTCGAATTCGGCCAGGTCTTGTGGGATACTCGTGAGCTTGGCGGCTTGATGGTGAAACAGGACAATGTCGCTAGATGGAATTCGTTTTTCGAGTCTGCAAAGAGGGCATTGCAACTGAAAGATCCGATTGAGATTTTTCAGAGGAGGATGGTCAACGAGAGGGACCCAAAGAAGCGCCTCCCTGAAGAATACCTCCTCAGAGACGATGACTAGTCTTTCCTCGGTATCGCCGTTGACGTACTTGAGCCAGTCTTTCGCCTTACGAAAAGATTTGAGGATAGGGCGCCTCGAATCGCCGAGGTAGCAGCATCTTTGCAGTACTTACTCGATCACTTTCGTCAGCAGCGAAGCATTTACATCGACGATATCGTGAATCCTGCGATAAACGGCCCCGAGTTCGCTGGCACTACAATCTTCGTTGGGCATCAGCTACCGGCGTTGCAGCCGATCGCGCCGCCCAGTCCAAGATCTTCTCTGACCGACCGCAACGGGAGCGGCGCCAGCCTGCGAGATACAGAGACGGCGCAAACGACGCGGAAATAGCGGAAAATGACAATTCAGCTGCCTTTTCCGACCGAGAAAACCTTCGTGCGTTAAGGGCTAGTTAGTCTTGCTGTTGCCATCTACAAGATTGATAAATACATCGCCACTCCAGAGGACTCTCCTGCTTATTGGGCAGCGATGATCCTGCATCCTGGTCTTAAGAAGCGATGGATTGAGAAGCAACTCTCTGAAGAATACGCTCAGCGGATCATTCAAGGCTTCACGAAGTTCTTTGACGAAGAGTATAACAAACAGGGCTCTCCAGTCCCCCGACAGTCGGTTCAGACTCGACCGAACTACCTCATCGGCGAAGACTTCTACGATAAGCCTGAGGATTTCCTATTGAAGGATGAGCTTACTGAATACTTTTCTATGTCATTATTGCCTGTGGAGGACCCCCTGGAATGGTGGCGCCAGCACCAGACTTCATTGCCGAAGCTTGCAAAGATGGCGTTCGATATCCTGTCAATACCGGCCACTTCTTGTGAGGTGAAGAGAGTATTCAGCCAATCGAAGTTGACGGTATCGACACAGAGATGTCGATTGATGGACCAGACAGTTGAGCTGCTCGTTTGCTTGAAGTATTGGCTGTCAAAACGGGGGTCTTGAAGCAGGGTGGTTGCTTGACTAGAATTTACCATAACAAGGAGTCACTTGTATTCTAGCAAATTGAATAGACTTGATTCTGATCAATTCAATTCAATCTCAATTCAAGTCTTGCCCTCTATTCTCAATTCAATTCAGTTCCAGACCTGAATTGACTTGAATTGACTTGTTCGGAACGCTGATTCTATTAGCTAGACTAAGCAATGGATCAGTTAAATCCTAACGTAGGGCCCGCGCTCTTTCATACCTAGGTGTCCATTCGTGCTTGGAGGCTCGCTCGTATATACCAAGAATTGCGAAGCGATGACATACGAAATATATAAAAGAAAGAGACGTCTTAATTCCTAACACGCTAGAACTATTAGGTCGACATAAGGGCAGCCGGACCAACCTATAAGTGGCAGGCTCAGCGGCCTTCCCGTCGATTCCCCCTTTACCCATGCCGCGAGTGGGAACTCCTCTCCGACTCCTTGGACGGTTTCCCGTCGGATCCCGACGGTACCCTAAGCAGTTCCTGGCTCGTGTTGTAGCACTCCGCAGAATACTCCCCGATGACAGGCTGCAATTTGAGCCCTGCCTGGTCGTACTGGTTGTGGGAAGACGTCCTCGCCTCGGTCCGGCGTGTGAAAGACCTCTTGACGGCAATCGACCCCGTCGGCATGGGCATGCTGTTGCCGTACCCCGATTGAGGCAGCGAAGGGCGGGAGCCGATTCCCAACTTGAACCCGATGATTTTGACAAGAGGCTGTAGGGTGGCGAGGCCGGCTGCTGTGATGGCTAGGCACTGCTCGATCGTGGACCAGATGGCGACGTCGACAGTGTCGTACAAGAAGTCGTCGCTGGAGATGAGATGGACGTAGGGCAGGCGAATAACCACGGCGGCACTGGCACTGTAATTCAAATCTTGTGAGCGAACAACGGACGGCCCTTGGCGTCGCGGGGGGGTCGGCCACCAAAGGTGCGCCACTTACATGCAACCGAGGCCCATCAGCACGCACAGAGCTAGCTTGGTCTTGCGCTTCATGTTGAGGTGGGATAGAATCCAGGCGGGCATCAGGGCAAAGGTGAAGTCGGTGATGATATTGATGACGCTGAACAGCATGACCAGGGCAATGATGATACGATCAGGGATGCAGGTGCCTGTTTGGCTATACTTGTCCCAGAAGTAGCTGACCGGCCAGCATTGGAAGATACCGGCGAAGAAGAAGACCAGGCAGCTGACGATAGTCAACACCAAGGCTATGGCGAGAATGAGCTTTTGCACGCGTTCGACGATGACGCGGCGGAAAAAGAAGGTAATGGATATCTTGGTCAACGCCATAGTGACAGCGTAGGTCGGATAGCAGCAATACCACCACTGGGAGTCAACCCGTATGTCAGCACACGGCGATCGATCATCTCGTTGACAGCGTTGCCTTACCTTTTTGGCCTCTGCGTAGGCTTCTTTGCTCAGGTCTTCCACATGGTAGCCCGTCCCGTTGGCGAGGCCAGCGAGGGAGAAGGAGCAATAGAAAGCAAAGCAGACTGAGGCAGCGACCATCAGCCAGTCGTCAGCCCCAAAAGCTTTGAGCAGCCGGATGCGGACAAAACATCGAAGGGCCGTTACTGTCGTGGCCAGGATCAAGGCGGCGATGTTGACAGCGGTAAGTGGCAAGGCCCGGTTTTCGGGAGAGGACGCCATGTTGAATCTGTCCGCTATTGAACCGTTTGAGAGGCTCAAGTCAAGCTTGAGCCGGTCGAGAGGGCTCAATGCCTAGCCGGTTAGGTAGTTGATGCCAAGGGTCACCAAGCCTTCAAAACCGGCCCGAGAGAACTGGGGACGGCGTCATGGGCTTTTAAGTCGGCCAGGTCTTATGTATCTCAACAGGACCGGGGAGCTGAATCTTCCATTTTTATTTTGAAGTATCAGAGATGGCGGAAGGAAAGCCGTGGAGTGTGGGTTCCCCAACGATGTTGCAGACCAGATTACTACCCCTGAGAGTGGGGTGTAAACATGGTCCAGCCGAGGCGCCGGGCCCGCCTCCAGTTCCACGGTCCATTGGCGAGCTGTATCCCCTTCAGCAGGCTTCACAAAAAGATCGGCTTTGGCCCGGAGAAAGGCCGTACCTGGTTAGGGCCATGCGATAGATGGTCTAGTCCGGGTTCCAAGAGGGCGGACCCCTCGTTTCACCGCCCCCCATTTCTGTACAGGGCGTAGCACCCAGGGGCTAGGGCTTGGTATCGCCACGGCAGTTGATAAAGAGAGAGGCTTTTGTGCTTGGCCCAGCAGATGCTGGCGTTTGAGTTGTGATGTTCAACTACTTAGTTAGACTGGCTCGAGACCAGCTCAAGACCGGTTCAACACTGGCTCCCATTGGGCCGATTGGACCAGTCTCTTGAGGTCTAATTTGACAGTTTCTACACTGCCTAGACAGGTAATTTCATCCAGGCAATTAGTTTGTCTGTTGCGGGCTTCCACAGATATCAAACCAGAGATGAAGCTGTAATTGTTGCTCACCCTGTCTTGCAAGGATCAAAAAGGTTTGTTAGCGGCCGCACTAGCTGGCGCGCAACGTCAGGTTCGTGTCTTGCTCCGCAGGAAATTGCCGATCTGCGAGTGCCCAGGCTTGCCATGATGAGACTCGCCATGTGCTTTGTGGGGCAACTCGTTTCTTTTAACCCGATGCAGGCAATGGAGAAGGCTCTTCTGGAATCTCCTTTCCCACGAGATGATTGCCCGATACGTGTTGGGGCAAGATGCAAACATTCCCTGAGATCGGCTCAGTTGCCGGTGGCGTGCTCCGCGACAAGGCGAGTTTTCAATTTTGGTTTTTGGTTTTTTGATCCGAGTTTTCGATCAGGGGATGCAGCTTCCAAGATTTTTGCGTCACACTGTCTGTGTGGCCGGAAACAATTACCGGATTTGGCACGGTAACATCCGTGAGTGTGTCTTGCTTACCCGAGGAATGCCGGAGTCCCACCTAGAAAGTAACGGCGGAATTTGCAAGCTTGAGCTTGATTGATTCTTCGTACTTGTCAAAAGTCTGGGGGAAATCCACCGAAATTCACCTGGCACAATTCTTCAGCTTTGCAAGCGGAACAATGTCTGTCTCACTCGTGTCATGACATGCGTGTACAACTGGGTCCGGACTGTCATGTACTGACTGCGTACTTGGAGGGCTAAAGGGGCTTGGCATTCACGTGGCATTCTGCTAGTACCCTAACCCTAGAGAAGTGCCCAAGATGATGAAACCGGCTGGGCGACTGATTTGGTTGCATGATGCATTTGAAGCGTCATATGAGGCGTCAATGATCGGTCCAAGCTTCGCCTAACACCCCTCAACCTCTCAAGGAAGACACACACACACACACACACACACACACACACACACACACACATACATACACACACACACACACATACACACAGTAGAAAAATATGGCGTCAACGGCAGATTCCCAAAACGATGAAAAGCCTGGCAGTACTTGAGTACCACGGGGCGGCATCGAAAAGAATCTCGTCCTCCACGACTCTGTTGCGATCCCAGCTATTTCCTCGCGCGTCGGAGATGCCGAACTGGCTCATCCAAGTTGTGTCGGCCAGCATCAACCCCCGGCCGACTACAAGGGCACCCGAGCTAGGGCGTGGTCGCCCGCGCTGTGATCCCGCACACCCGCAACCCCGGGAAGTGGACTTTTTGCGGTCGTGTGGTGCAGACTACTCGAACCGTCGACGACTTTTGCTTATCGGGGACTTGGGTGTTTGGGCGCATCGATGTTGCAGCAGCATGGGTACCACCGGCCCGAATACATTCGTGGGGCCCCTACCAAAGCATGCGCCCTTGTTCCCGAGGGTGTGAGTCTGGACGATGCCGCCGCGGTGGGGGTCGCAGGCATTACCGCGTACCGTAGGTTTCCGCCCGGGTATTTTGTAGCTGCATTGATATGGCGTGGAGAAGCGGACCATGATGAGCATCGTACATGTAGGCTTACAACAAATCAGAGACCATTGCTCCTAACGTCAAGCCGGGCGACAAGGTCCTCATCAACGGCGGGTCAGGCGGCACTGGCACCTTTGGCATACAAATCGCGAAAGCCCTGGGCTGTCACGTCACCGTAACCTGCTCACCCGGCAAAGCTGACCTCTGTCGCTCGCTTGGAGCCGACGAGATCATCGACTACACCTCTACCGACGTCTCGCAGGCTCTCAAGGCCAAGGGCCAGGTATTTTCTCTGGTCGTTGACAATGCTGGGCTGCCTGCGACTTTGTACAAGGCCGCCGACAACTTCCTCGTGCCAAGTGGCAGGTTCGTCCAAGTCGGTGGGCCGCTCAACTTCAGCGCTATCAAGACGGTGGCATCGAGGCTGCTTGTACCGTCCTTCTTGGGCGGCGGGAGGCGCAAGTACGTCATTTTCAACATCGGCCATAGCCGGGACGATCTGAAGCAGTTGGGGCAGTGGATAGCAGACAAGAAGATCAGGGTCGTCGTTGAGCAGACCTACGAGTTGGAGGATTTGCCCAAGGCGTTTGAGAAACTGAAAACGGGTAGGAACGCAGGGAAGCTGGTGATTCATGTCGGGAAGTGAGCGAATTTTCAATTGAACTAGGCGTGGGAGTTGAGGAGCAATGGACTTTGAGGTAGGTAGTTTGCTTATACTGTATTTTAAGTGTCAGGCTGATCCTCGAGGCTTAACTGACCGAACCCTCCAACTCCACCCGGGTAAGCCTCATGCCTACAGGCGGTTGTAATTTTAAAGCTAGCAAGAGTTGGGAGCCACTCAAGTTGCACGCACGTGGCGGACCTGGTTGGGCTCATTTTGTTGTAATACATACAAGACATGGGACAACAAGCTTGTGTTTAGCGGGACCAGGTACAAACCGTGTGCTTCAAAAGGGCACAAGATAAAACCGAAACAAGTGACATCCACGTCCCACAATATGAACAACTCGGTGGTAATTAGTTGCCGAGAGTCGACAATGCAACCATATAAGCCAGGGCAAAGGCTGTCAACACGGTGCAAGGGGACTATTGAACCTCGACCTCTACCAACAAGCTGGAAATCAAACAGCATGGACGACCCCCCTCCACCCTATTTTTTGCAATCCCCTCCCACACCTGTCGCCAACCCCACAAACTCTTCTGACGAGGCCCCAGAGACTGTTTACGCAGATTTCTGGCCAGACCTACGAAAATATATTGAGTCCAATGGCAGGTCTGAGTCAGGGGAATGGCCCCGGACTGCTGTTTGCGGCCTTTGCCTCAACGCCGAACTGGATATCTTGGGACTGTCGCCGTCTTCTAAAGCCACGTCTAGCATCAAACCCGCCGTGATTACTATCTGCGGCCACATGGCCTGTCGTCCTTGTATCGACAGCTGGTATCAAGCTCGTTGCAGCGAAGATAAACCGCCCACATGCCCGTTCTGCAGACACGAGATGCGCTTCCACGACTGCGCACATAGAATCCTGGGGTTCCGTATACCAACAAACAACGAAATTTACAGCGGGGTTTCCAGTCTTAATTCCTACCTTAGCGATGTTCCTCTTACATTGCCAGAAGGGGGAAAAAGTCCCGGCAGATGTAATGATTGTGATGGTGGTATTGTAGTAAAGAAAAACTCTGTGCGGACATGGAGCTACATTTGGGGCGCCCAGCAGACCCCCCCCCCAAAACCATGATGACGAGAAAGGATCATCAGGAGCATCCGAGCTGGGGAGCGCAATGCGATCGTTTATACTAATGAGTGCCTGCCCCATGGTCATAAACTTTAGCAAATACTTCAAATACAGATGATGGATTAGGATGCCGTACCCCTTAACAAAGTGAAATGTACAAGGAGACCGGACACTAGACCCTCTTGATATCGGCCATTTAACAGCGATTTGCCCTCTTACATAAATAAAATGTGTTACTTCACCAATGTTTTCACGGGTGCAGCCCAACGTGTGGGGTGGCAGACCGAAGGGCTGACACTGCCACACTTGGCCATGGATTTGGACTGAGTTCATGTTGGCAAGTGCCAGCAAACAGTGCGGTGAGCCTGCAAGGCAGATCGGATGGGAAATGGCCTGGGGGACTTCTGGATAACTGTACGTTGGTTGGTATCGACATTCCCGTGATCTTGTCGGTATGCACCAGCCCGGCTCCATGCATGCCCTGCGGCGAAGGACCCAAACTGTCGGGTCCATATCATTCCAGGGTTAATCTCCTTTGGTCTCCTGGTTGTGGAACTCACGATGTCACTAACATAAGTACCTCTTTGTGGTCGGTTGGGCTAGTTGGGAGGCGGGGCTGGGGGGTCACTGGCAAACTGCCAGGCCACTTCAACTGGCCAGTCATTGAGGTTGGTTAAACAGGTGATAGACCAGACAAACATCATTTCGATGATTCAGTAAATGCCCAACACCCGACATCAGCAGGCGCAGCAAGTGTCATTTTTCTTATCACCCTTTCTCGTTGCCTTGATCAAGCGCCTCCACAACACCTCCACAGCTCTTGTTAACCCCCTCATTCCAGACCATGACTCGTGAACTAGATCAAGGGAAATCATTATCTCTTCTGTTGGGTTATTACCCCATAAGCTACATGTAGCTATGGGTAGTTACCCATAGTATGACGAACCACGAACAAGAGAAATATTTGATCTCGACAGTAGTCGTTGAACAAAGAGCAGGAACAATGAACCCGACTCGTAATTAAAAAACACTACTCAACCATGAATCCCCCAACAACTCGATTTTTAATATTACCAAAAGACTGGAGTCAACCTTGAAACATTCTGGCTCAACCACTCGATAATCCTCGATAGCTTCCTGTCCCCCACACGACCCCTGACGTCAAACAACACCCAACATGTCCTCCGCGTCCCCCCCCTTCGACTTCCCACGCCTCTTCCCAACCGGCCACACCGACGAGCGCGAGCCGAACCCCCCCAACCCCCCAACCGACCACCGACCACCCAAGAAAACCCGCCCCCTAGCCGCCTCCCCCCAGCCAGCCGACTTCTACTGGCAGTACAAATGCGCCATCTGCCACGCGCCCATCGCCCAGGCAGACGGCGCCGACTTCATCGGCCACGCGCCCTGCCTGCACCGGGGGACGTGCCCGCGGTCGAGCTGCATCCGCGCGTACTACGGCGGCAGCCGTCAGTGGGCGCTCCCGTACGAAAGAGGCAGCAGCAGCAGCAAGCCGCTATTCTGCCAGGCGGCGGGGTGCGGCGGGCGGATTGAAGCGTGGTGCTATGTGAAGGCGGTGGCGTCGCCGCGGAGGGGCCGCGTGGTGGCGCTGCCACAGGGGGATCCGAAGGTGGAGAAGGCGGAGAGGAAGGCGAGGATGAGGGAGTGGGAGAGGGAGAGGGAGGTGAAGGAGAGGGGGGAGCGGAGGGAGAGGAAGGAGAAGGAGAAGCGAGAGAAGGAGAACCGGCGGCCGTTGATTGAGGATAGGGTGGATTTTTTTCTGGGGACCGCTCTCCTTTGCGGTGCGGTCTGCTGCTGTTCTCCTTTGATATGCTTCAGGGGGGTGCTTGATCAGTAATAGGTGGTGGGGAGTACCACTTCGGGCATTAGATCGGTAGCCAGGGCGGTGCCGCTGGCTACGGAACCAAATCACAGTATAGATAATAGTACTTACGTTGGCTATGAATTGACATGAGCCTAAATCGACATGACGAGGTCCCTGAATCCCTGTAGATGCCTGCATCCTATGCTAACATTGGGCTGGTTTCCTCGGCCCTTTATGAGACAGCGTTTGTCGCCAGCTTGAACTAAATCTTGACTTCCTCACAGCCCAAAGTACTTCATGTCGTCACTGCCGCGCATCGGCACCGAGTGTCCCACACCCTGCGCGTAGACACCCACCAGCTGTCCGTCGCCCCAGGTGTAGGTGGTATAGCGTGACTGGGGGGTGTTGGCCTGCGTGCTGTCGGGCTTGGTGTAGTCGTAGCCGAACACGCCGCACCACTGCTTGATGGTCTCGTTGTAGTTGTTGGCGTTGAGCGTGGTGTCGGCTGACCCGTGGTAGATCTGCATCTTGGGGCGAGCGCCGTCGTAGCCGGGGTACATGTCGGTGACCATCTTCAGGGAATGTTAGCCTGATGCTGCTAAATGTTGGTGGATGTCTAGCTGCTGCTCACCTTGGCCCACACCTCGGGGGTTCCACGGGCCTGGCCGTTGGCGCACGAGTTGTTCCACGCGGCCGCGCCGCCAGACTGGCTCAAGAAGCAGCCAGCCGCAACGCCCGAGTAGGCGATACCCGCGGCAAACATCTCGGGGTAGGTAGCAGCCATGACGTTCTAAGTCGAAATATTAGCCAAGTGAATCAACCTCGCGACTGAAGCTGAAACTCACCGTCATCATGGCACCAGACGAGGAGCCGGTGACAAAGACCTTGCTGGCATCGCCACTGTACTTGTTGAGCGTGTAGTTGACCATGTTGGCGATCGAGTTGCTATTGCCGCCGCCGTTATGGCTGAGCGTCGCCCGGGACGACACATCCCAGCAGGTGCCGCTGTATGGGGATTCGGGGTAGATGACGATAAAGCCCTTTTGGTCGGCAAGCTGAGCGTAGGGAGAGCCGCTGTAGTAAGCCTGGGCAGTGCCGGTGCAGTAGTGGATTGCCACAACAACAGGCGGGTTCGTCGCCAGCCGGCTGGGTACGTAGATGTACATCTTGGCACCCGATGGGTTGGACCCGAAGTTGCTGACCTGGGTGAGAGCGGCTTGGGCGCGTTTCAAGGGCGCAGTAGGCTCCATCAGCTCGTCAAAGACAGGGTGGGCTATAGCGCTGCCCACGAGGGCGAGCGCAGCCGAAAGCTGGCCAAGAAACTTCATGGTGGACTGCAAGAGAATTACCTGTTCGTGAGCTGGCCTTGAGATGCTGCGAAAGGGTAATCGCCTTGAAGCCCGACCCGAGCTCGAACATCGGGAATAGCAATATATATGTCTGGACGGTGTGGTCGGGTGGACCATATCTAACCCCGGACCGACCCCGCGACGATCATATCGATATATACTTCCCTTCACCCGCTACCACGCTGTCGGTGGCGGCTATCTTACCTGCTGGACGTCTTCACAGCTAAGGAGAGTTTCCGGATATCCAATCGGGAGACGGAGGGATCTAACCAGGTTATTACCCGGACTGAGCCCCTGAGTGCTGTACCCCGGACTGTGGCTCCAGCGAATGGGGACGGCAGGGGAGGAGGGATTCGGCACTTGGGATTTATCATCCTTTGTAGTTGGGGCGCTTCACCGTTTCCCCCTTGCTCTTCCCGCGTAGCTGGCGAGTCTTCAGCGTTGCGTAGCCCAATTTCGCCATGTTTGAGAATAGCCGTTTCCCGAGGGATCGGCTGGTGGGGATACGCGGGCGTAGCTTGAACGCGGTATTGGCATTGGGGCGCATAGGGTGCGCTAGGGGGCCGGGATCAAGGTAGCGTTTGGTGAAGATCCCGCAATCAAGCATTCCCCGCTCAGATCCTAATATGGGTGAATCGACAAGGAGGTCCTCACTCCGCGGCTCGGAGATTTCTTTTGCATCTGCGTCATACACAGCAGTCAGGTCCGAATGCCGGGCATTGCAAATCCACAAATCACGAGCTTGACTTGGAGCCGCGGTGAAACAGTAACAAGGTGGAAGAACTGCTGGCCTGCTCCTCTATTTCGTATGCACATGAGACCAACACAATGCCGCCTGCAATAGCCGAATAAGAAGAGAGCGTAAATAAGTGCCCCTGCCAAGATTGAAACACAAACACACCACCTCCCGCAGCCCTTATTCTTGGTCACTCCCCGTGATTTCCCGCTCCTCAACCACAACAACAGGCACTGACTTGAACACCTCCTCCCGAGAGTCCAACTGAAATTCTAATCTCGCCTTCTCAACAACCTCATTGCCCTTCCGTAACCTCGCTCGCCAACCCTCAACCCACATCCACGCCAGCCTCGCCTCGCCAACAGCTTCGGTATATATTGGCGGTTGCCGAGCACCCGTATCACTAGCCTCCCGTCCCGGGCCAAAAGCAGGCTTTGCGCGTAACCTGATTGCGTCCTCCGTTTCTCCTTTCTCTGGTCCCTTCACCACCTCCTTCTCCGCATCATCCACAGAACCCTCCTCGCCTACCGAGGCCGGGGCGGTGACCGAGTGGACACCGAGTCGATCAAAGTTGCTCTCCAGCACCGTAACCCCTTGCTCGTGGCTATCACCGGTAGCCGCAGCCAGAGCTGTAGTCGGAGCTGTAGCCGGAGCCATAGCGGGGGTTGGAGCTGGGGCTGGGGCTGGAGCTGGAGCCGCAGCCAGGGACTGTAGCCGTAGCCGCAGCCTTAGCCTTACCTTTAGCCTCCATAGCATCATCATCATTCTTCTCCTCCTCCCGCCGCCGCTCATCCTCCCTCCCCGGACTCGGACTCGGCACAAACGCAATAACCACCCTCTCCCCCTCCTCCGCACTCTCCCCATCCGCCTCTGTACTCCAACCAGACCAACCCCCCTCACTCCCCCTCCGCGCATAACTCCACCCCCTGCTATGCCTGTCCAGGTACTTTGGGGCTTGGCGGAGGGGCGGTAGGGGGGAAAAAAATGTGAGATGGT